AAAGTTGACCAAGTTGTCTAGGATCTAAGGGTATGTTGTCATACTCATTGAATTTAATTTGTTTCCAGCACAATGGAATCCATAAGGGTGAAGTGTGTACTACCACTGTACATGTTTCTGTTCCTGATGGTGCCGAACCTGGAGGGTAAGTAGGGCTACTCTTTTTATTTTATTTCTTTATTCTCATAAGGCCATGTTGATTTGATTATATGGATGACATCCTCCGGGAGCCCCAAAACTGATGCGCGCGTGCGAATAAAAAAAAAGTTTTGCAAAAAAAAAAGTTCTTTTCATTATGAAATCTACGTGGTCATGAGGGTTGAGCAAATGGCACAGAATATGGTTTGGCGAATAATCTAGTCTTCAAGTTCATTTCTTTACAATTTCGTCTTTTTTCGTTTGACTTTGGCATTCTACGACATTGGTATAGTTTTTATTAATTTTTTTTGTAACTTATGGTATATTTTTGCTCATTTTTCATCTGTTTTGTACGATTTACAGTATGGTTGAAAACTTTTTTTTTTTTGGAAACGGCCGAAAATTCATGCGCGCGCGGATGTCATCCATATTATTTAATCAAATCAACATGGCCTAACAGATAGATGAAAATCACAAAGTTTTCTGGCTGTGTTTTTTTTTTCTTCTAGCAGCAAAACGCAGTATCCTAATATAGTATTTTGTTGACAAAGTGAGGAATGTTTTGTGAGGAATGTTGTATTTTCTGTGTTCCGAGTTCTAACTCTATTTCTAACATTATGCTAAAACATGGATCAAATTCAAAGTTGTTATGTTCATCACTAGTTACCCTGTTCAATAATATCCTTGTCGGAGGCAACTGTTCGTCCAATTGGAACACAAGCATCCCAACTCCGATTTTTAAATCCGGTGACATGTCCAACGTTGATAACTATAGGGGAATCGCTCTCTCCAGTTGTTTGTTAAAATCTTTCACCCTTCCAAAATACCAGGCTACCATATTTTATAGAAAACGATTTGTTAGCCGACACTCAGTTTGGCTTTAGAAAGAAGTGCCAAACCGCCAACAATGTTTGTTTGTTTTGTTTGTTTGTTTGTTTATTTGCATATAATCAGAGAGAACAATAAAAAGAACATAATACAGTAAAATAGGATATGCAGGGGAAAGATAAGAAGCCATAATGGCTTGTCCGTGATCTTCCCCCGACTAAATTAATTTACAACTGTGATAATGGTAACAAATCAAATGGTAATAATAAATAACAATAAGTCATTGAAAAAAAACGATCAATATGATAACGGTAACAAATCAAATAGTAACAATAAATAACAAAAGTAATTGGTATAAATAACGTTAATTAGAGATGGTATATTAAAAATAAGTTAACAGAGGTTTAACTGAAGAACAAACATAAACAAAAAAATTTAAGCAATAACTCCAGAATATATAAATGAATTTTAAATTTAAATCTTATATAACATGTAACGGAAAAATTCAAACTTATACTTAGTATGATAGTGGTAAAATGTTTTCATTTTACAATCTCTTATTGAAAAATATAAAAGATATGAAAGATAAATTGTTGGTGACCAGGTCTGTTTTGTGGATATGAAAAAAAGCATTTGACTCCGTATGGCGTGATGGACTATTCTATAAATTGCACCATGGCATCGGGAGAACTTTTTTGGTATATTGAAATCTATGTAGTCAAATGTCAACTATGCAGTTAGAGGTGTAACCTTAGCCCCTTGTTATTTAATTTGTTTATCAACGACCTGCAGCAATGTTTTGATTGTGATGAATGTGATGCTGCTACTTTAACCACAAAATCTATCAATTGTTTGTCATGGGCTTGCTTTGATCTCATTACAATTATCAAAGCTGATTTTCAAGATTTACACTTGAAAATATTTTAAATTTACAATTTTGCACCAAGAGCAGGAGGGGAGGGGGGCATTGCAAGCAAAGAAGCAAAAATTACTCAAAATTTGGTGCTCCCAGCCCCAAGGACAGACAATACTTAAGCTCCTGTTGTTCCCCCAGAGCTTTGCGATGTTCACCATATCTAAGAAGCCGCTCTTTAAGAACATAACGGACTTCCTTGTGGAGGAGACCAGTGCCTGTTCTTACTCACCTGTTGTTTTACAGCTAAGCATGATTTTAAGTTAACTGTCAATGTCTCCAAAACAAAGGTTATTGTTTTCTTTTAAGGTTGTAACACCTTATCAAAGACTTGTGCTAGCCCTTATTGTTTGAGTAATTAGAATATATTAGGTTTTATTCCAAAAGTCTTATTGAATACATTTATTTTATTGGTCGCTATCTTTTGTTGTTGTTGTTGTTTGCACTTTGCCATACATTGTACCATGTGCAATTGTCGTGCAATAAAACATAATCGCGTTCTGTAATAAAATGAGTTAAACAGATTATTCATAATCCTTTTCCCCTTGTTCTTAGGGTGTCGTGTCGTCCGCATCTCCAATAACAACCCTCCCAGCCACGCCTCTCCCATGACAACCTACACCCGCACCAACATGACGTCATCTGGGCGTCCCGTGTACAAAAGCGACACCAGTGACTCGTATCTGTACCACATCCCTGCCCGTAATGGTCATTCGGCCCGATGGGTTGTTGGGAGGACTGTGAGTGCGACAGATGGATACACCATGTTCGTGAAGAGTGACCATCTCAACGCGGACGAAATCACCGGACAGTTCTTCACCCTGGTACATGGTGTTTGGAGAGAATCACCAAACGTCAATGCATCATGCACAGGTAAATTTGATTCAAGAAATTGATGGGATGAACGTACTTTGCAATAAAAAGAATTTAACTGTTCTCCAACTAAAAAAAATTGACTCACCGAAATTTTCAACTGAATCACGGTCTCATTATATATATTACCAATTCAGATGAAATTTAATGCTAGTATGATAACAATGAGAGTGGCAAGTATTATGTTTTCTTTCCTCCTGCTCCAAATTCACATGTATTGACATGGTCTTTATTTTGTGCATTGTTTAGAAAATAATGTAAAAACGGTAAACACTTTTATTCAACAAAGAAACTTGCATGCTATAAATGTTAGCAAGAAGAGTCCACTCCCCTTGCATATATAATGGCCACTCCCCCTGCGGTCAAGTGGTCTTTTATGTCAAATAAAGGACCACTTTTGAAATAAAGGCCACTTTGGATGATTTTCACTAGGCGCATCATACTTCTATGACATTGCGGCGTCATAACCACTGTGACGCGGAGGCTTCTGATTGGTCAACGCCACCTGGCTATAAGAAAATAACATTCCTCAAATTATCGTAGTCAACGCTACACAGACGGACCTATAAACATTTCTTTCTACCTTACAGTGGAGAACGTTGCCCTTGGTAAACCTGCCTCACAAAGCAGCACAGCTACAGATGGGTCCAATTCGGCTGACCTAGCCGTGGACGGAGAGAAGGGAACGTCTGTGCCGGATAACCAGTGTACCCTGACCAACCCTGAGATCAGCCCGTGGTTGCAAGTGGACCTCGGCAGAGACTGGCCGATTGAAACCGTGCGAGTTCTCAACCGCGGGGACTGTTGTGGTAAGTTTTTTTTATAAGAAAGTGTTAGCTTTTTTATAAGAAAGAGAGCACCAGGTCCTTTGCCATGAACTTTTAAAATATTTCTTCAGGTTTTTTTTGTTTAATTTTCATTCAATCATTCCTTAAAATCACTCAAAGTGAAATAAATTCAAGAAAATTGCCTGATTTTTAAAAGATAAATGTTAAGTAAATTTTCTTATAAAATACTAGGACATGCTAGTCTTCTTGAGCCTTAAACTTGCTGTAACGTTTGAGACCAGGGAGGGAGACTTTGACTTCGCAGACATTATAACTAGACTTTGTTTGATACCATATATTTGCATTTTTGAAGGGCCCCTTCTGGAGAATTTTGAAGTTAGACTAAAAGGAGGAAGGGAGTCATGGGACTCAAGTGAAATGTGCGGAGTCCCGAATCACGGCACGCTAACCAGTGGGCAGAGCATCACCGTGGACTGCGGCCGTCCGATCGTCGGCAGATACGTCCGGATCCAGCTGCCTGAGAGGTCGGATACTGACGTGCTGTCCGTGTGTGAGGTGGAGGTGTTCCCAGGCTTGGGTGAGTAGTTTTTTTTTTCCTTTTATCTAACCACGTCTTGAGTTCCAGGCGGATCATCCTTATAGTGTTGCTATTCAAATGTAGATACGGGCCATACTAGCCCATTGTACAATGTAGTTAAAAAAATTGCGCTGTACATAAAATTCATGATTTGCTGAAATGACTTGCTAAGGTGGCAGTGGTCGGATTAACCTAGTCACAAAGATTGATATCGGTCTTTCAGGATGCCCAGCTGGTTCCATCGTCCATGGGGGTATCTGTTACACGCCCGTCAACAGCCCGATGACCTACGAGAACGCACAGGCAACATGCCAACAGCTTGGCGGCACCCTAGCCATGCCACGCCATCGCCACATCAACACGTTCCTGACAGATACAGCCATCCGTGTGGACATATACAGCCACTACTGGATCGGGCTGTCCAAGGAGAACGGGGCCTGGGTCTGGGAAGACGGAAATCCGCTTTCCGGGTTTCGCGGATGGGGACCTGAACAACAAATCACGATCGGCAACTGCACAGTACTACGCCCTGACGGTACTTGGCAAGTTGAGTCTTGTGAGACGCCGGCCAAGTTCTTTTGTCAGGTCTCAGGTAAGTCCTGTTCGATTGTGATTATGTGATGAACATGTGTGTGCCTTGATGCATTAATCAAAGATGTGTCATTTTTGAGACATAATATTTTTACCAGTCAATATTTTCAAATAATCGTTTGAAGGTTATACATTGACATTGATTATGTGTCTTGCTTGCAGCTACGCAATCATGGAACATAACAACGCATTTCAGCCAACTCAGCGTATAAAACTTCCATTGATTGTAATCTTGATAAAGGGTAGTCAATATATTCATGATGTAAAATATTGAACACATGCAGCGCCTGTGGATCTTGCGACTGTTGGGTACCAACCACACGGCGGAGCTTACCTTCGAGCTTTCTCGGTAAAGAAGACGCTTAATGAGGCCAAAGCCGCCTGTGGTCAGTTCGGTGGAGGACGTCTTGCTCAGCCCACAACAAAAGAGTTTAATGTTGCACTGACCGGGATAGTAGGGGAGGCATCTGCCGACGAAAGCTTTTGGATCGGTGTGAAGATGTATGAGGTATGTACTTCAAAACTAGACCCCTGCGAATCTTAAAGGAATTCGGCAATCTTACAGGAATGTAGTCTTATGACTAAATATAATCTGCCTTTAACTTCTTATTAAAACCAGAAGACATGCTTACAAATCTATGGAAGAAATATTGTAAGGTTGAATAGAATAGAATAGAATAGAATAGAATCGGAATAGAATAGAATAGAATAGAGGACGAAACCATTTTGTAATAGAATGTAGATTGTATAGCAAATATAGTTATGAACTGAATTTTGTGTCTGTAAAAAAAAACTATTTCCTTAATGTATGCACTCAATTAAGCACTGTAGAAAATTCACTTACAATTCGTAATGCAGCTAGACAAAGCTTCTATAAATAATTAAGACATCTGTTCTTTAATCTCTATTACAACTTAAAAGCGATGAGAAGTAAGAATGATCTGATGATAGTTTGTTGTACCTTTAACTGTATTTGTTCATCATGTTTTTCTGGTCACCTGCATATAGCCCATTGTGACAAAATGTGCGATAATGCTCGTCATTCATCCAAGAGAGAATGACAGAAGCATGCGTCAGTGTACGTAGACCGTTAGTAAGGTAATATGCATTAATTAACACATGGCTCTCTGGAATAACACGATTATGAACTCTTTTTTTTAATTTTTTTTTTCATAGGACTTCTGGCTGTGGTCGGATGGGACCCCAAGCGAGATGTCCTACAGCAGTTGGGCATCAGGAGAACCCTCTGGGCAGGGCTGCGTCACGACAACGTCAACTGGAGAGTGGAGCGTGAAAAACTGCGACGAAGAGGCGTTCTACGTTTGCCAGATAGGCAAGTAACTTTATTTTTTATTGGCTCACCAATTCATCCATCCGAACACCAAAACACTCCATGACGAACTTCTATCGACTGAATCAATGAAAAATATTTTCGTATTCGTAGGTCGTAACGGTTAATATCATTCAGCGAAAAATGAAGTCGCTGAAATCGTGTTTCTACATGTATAAATTGTTCATGTCATGACGTTAGGAAGCCAGGTGCAAAGCCAGGTGCAAAAAGGATTCAAACTGAAATCTCGCCAAAATTGTATGAGTACAACATTCTGAAGTGTCTCTTCTTTATTTTAGGTGATGAGAGCTTGTACGAGATGGAACCTCACTCTAAAGGTATCATATGTTGTTCGTTATGTTTGCCAACAAAACTGTTTAATGTAATTGTACACGTAATCATGATGCCTGGTAAGGGTGTGAAAAATCTTGTGCTTAACTTAACATGTCAACATTATATAATACAATAGCAACCGAAAGGAGTTGGCAGTCAAAAGCATGAAAGTTCATCTGAGTTGGTAAATTACATTATGAAAAACTTAAACTTTTCTCCAACTCGAAATTTGACTCACCAGAAATTTTCGACCGAATCACTCAGTTTTCCTCAGCTATCTGACCCAAATGCTGTGGACACGTGATTTTTCCCACGTGTGACGTCAGCAAAGGGTCAAAGGTTGTCTGAAGTCGATATCGCCCCCCGTCCCGGTTGAGCGATGGTTGAAGTGCCCTGATGTATATGGCCTCTTTTATGCCTCTCTTGAAGTAATCCTGTTCGGTATCCAAGATTCTGACCCCCTCCAAATCCACTGTGTGTCCCGGTGATTCTATGTGGATGTGCTGTGACACCTCAGATGCAACAGAACTGGGTCGTCTATGTCCTAGAAACCTGGTTTTTAGTGAGCGCTCAGTTTCCCCGATATAAGTTTCCCGACAGGGGCCTCTGTTAGTGTTTCCCTGGCAACTTATGTGGTAGATAACCCCACATTTGTCTTTCTTGGGAGTTTTGTCCTTAGGTGCCACAAGGAGTTGTCTTAACGTACGATGAGGTCTGAAACAGGTACTCACTCCGTGTGCAGCAAAGATTCTACGTAGGGGCTCAGAAACACCCTTTACGTATGGGAGGACTACAAGTGTTTTTCTGTTTTTCCTTCCCGTTCCCTGACTATCTTGGGGTTTAGACCGGGGCTGTCTGGGCTCGGAGGCTTTCCTAATGAGCCACTGAGGGTAGCCACACTTCTTTAGGGCTCACTTCTTTAGGGCTCCTGTAACGTGATCGACATGCACATCTAAAGTTGTTCTTTGGGGAAGGGTTGGGTCTTCTTGTAGTCTCTGGGAAATAACAACAAGGGCCTTATCCACTGGCACCGATGTAAACAATGCAGTTACGTCGAAATGGGGATCTAGCTGTGACTACATTTTGTTATTCTAAGATGAATTGTGAAGCACTTTTGGCATCGTATTTGCGCAAAGTACTGGATGGTTTGGAGAATGTTTCATGCACATCTTTTTTCTTTTGTTGCTGCTCTTTTGCCGGGGTTTACATTATATTTGCAATCCAAAACCCAGCAATGCGAAATGAAATCTTAGTCCTACAGACTATGAAGAAATAAGTATAAAACTTTATTTAAAGGAAAGCATCTCATTTAAGTTCCTGCGATGACGGCTTTGCCAAGAATCTCAACCAGAAGAATGAACATGCAAATGAAATTATTTTCTCCATCCTGTAGCGCGATGTGGCGGAATACTCTACGAGAGTTCTGGCCAGATCGTATCACCAGGATATGGACAGAATCTGAACAACCCTGAAGAACTGGACTGTGAGTGGAAGATCATAGTCCCGGATGGAAAGGTCGTACAGTTTACAGTTGAAGACTTTCAACTGAAGGAGGACGGTAGCCTTGAGATATTTGACTTCTGCCCTTACGGACACCGCGTCGAGAGTCTTTCAGGAACTGTCGAATCCAATCTGACTATCACCACCACCGCCAATGAGGCCTTCCTCAAATTCAGCTCCAATGGTCTACAACCGACGCATGGTTTTAACATCAGCTTCCAAGGTATTTAGTGCCGTCATTTCGTTTTATAAAGTCTATTTCAATTTTGCTTAAGTCACTGTTAACAAAGGCATTTCCTTTTTTTTTAACAAAAAGTTACTAGCATGACATCCTATTCTATATTGTATATTTTAGCAAAGCCCCCACAACGCGGCCCAAATGTTCGTCAAAACAGCCAGAAAACTACAAGAGCTACGCGACGTACGCTGGCAAAGGGCATCGTACCTGGCCTGCAGGTATGATAAACTGACCAGCCTCACAGCTTTCAGTTTAAGGAAAAAGAAAAAGAAAATGGGGCAAAGAAACAGAGATAAACAGAGAAAAGAGAAAAGCTTAAGGAAGCAAAGGAGTCAAGAAGGAATAGATCATATATGTGGCTGATTTATTATTCTACTCACAGCATTAGGTGTCAATTTGTAGCCAGCTCTAGGGATAAAGGGATAAGTGATGATAATTGCTCTGAATGGATTGTAATGTTTTTTCTTTGCAGCAAGTCGCTAGCTTCGTGAGCAGCACTTTGCTCAGCGTGGCAAACATGGTCTTTGGCAGTCAGAACACCGGACAACAACATGCAGAATTAATGAACAATCTAAATCTCCTAAAGGACACGGTTAAAGAAATAGGAAGTGACATACAACAGCTAGGCATCATGTTGGAATGGCAGGTCGAGATGGCACAAGCAGCTCAAATGTATTCGAGCTCCGAGCAAAGAATCAAGAACTTGCTCGACACGTTGCAAACTCAACTTACTATTACAACAAACGGGACACTGGAGCCTGCCAGGGCCAACAGAGGCCTTGTTCAAAACTGGGTGGACAATGTGCTGACACAGGGAGAAGGAGGCATTAACGCGGTACCAACGCGTTTAAATAACATTTGATCAAATTCTTTTCGCCTCAAGCAAATATCGCAATGTGCAAGCAAAATCGCTTAATATTTTCTGAGTTTCAAGAATGTAAGAAAAGGATGCTGTCTTTAAATACATGTAGTAAATGCTGGGTTAATATACAGGTGTGAGGTTTTGAATTTTTCATCATTTGTCTTTTTATATAGAACCTAAACAACATGCATGACAAAGTCGTTTTCATCATTTCTCGTTCCCTATAGGTCTTGAACAACATGCATCGCATGGTGATGGGGACTCAATCAGTGTTTAACGGGAAGTCAGTCATTGCAATAATGGACGGCCTACTGAAAAGCCAACATCATCCGAGTGCCACTGAAGAGGTAGATTTTTCCCTTTTCAAATTACTAATTACATATTCATCTTAATCTTTAACGTCAGTCAAGCTCCAAATGTACATGTATAGCTATTAACAAATAAAATCCATTCTAATTCTGTTCATCTAAACAAGTACTACATCTGTATAAAAGCTTTTCACTTTATGAAAAAGTGAATGTATATCTATCTATCTAAAGTATCTCCCCATCGATAGATAGATAAATTGGTAGATAGATTATATGGATATATGCATTCACTTTTTATTTTCATGTGTATTCTACCGTACTTGAGATTCTGAACACTTCACTTTAATTTAATTTTTCAGCTGAAGAGTATCGCTGAATACATCATTGACCTGCAACTCTCCGGGTACGTTGCCTGGATCCTCGCTCTCAGGCATAATGGTGATATGGACAAAGCTGAAGGAATTATTAACAGGGGATCCAAGAAGTTGAGTGAACAAAATTGCTTCATGGCGCGTTTCTTCGACGGTGAGTGAATACATTTCCAAAACAAATGCATAATGTGTTTAATTTGTTTATCACTCATTCATATGTGTTACATGTATGTGGTGAGAGGCCCCTCCAACACTGTTCTGCTACAAATGTAACCCAACACCACAAGGTGTTGCTACAGCACCAGTTACCATGGTGACAGACGTCAGGTCCAGGTCATTGACTGTATTTCCTAGGAGAAGAAGAAGAGAACGAAACAGAAAAAAAAAACTATGTGTTCTTCTGCGAAGGTAAACATCACCAATTACTATAAACAAGTTGAGTGTTTTTAAATTTGTAACATGATGCATCGTATTCTTATCATTTAGACTGGCCGACAGGCACCTTTGGCTTTCCCATGGCAACTGGCGGGTGTCCGAATGGGTCATCTGTGGTTTTTAAGGGGGGCCAGTACGAGATGAACGGAGTCAACAGTTTCCTTTGGTCAGAGGATGATCAACTGCATTTAAGCGGAAGTGTCTCTAACAACACAGTGAAGCAGGGAGTCTGCATGAAGGTTACGTATCACAGTTACATATTACCGCTTTAAATCAATTGAATGTGAACTTTATATACAAGATCACATCTGTTGGTTTTGTGAAGTCATGACATAGAAATAATTTTTTTTAATTCTGTTTTTACAGACGACTTACAGTGGCAGCGGCAACTGGTCAAAAGGAAGGTACTGCTTGTTTAAGCATGGGAATTGTCCACCAGGTACGCATGTATTTACCCCTTTAAACCACTCGCCAATTTATTATAATTTCCATGTTCACCTTGATAGATGTGGCTATTTCTTTTCTTGATCTTTTTTATCACCTTCAGGATTCAGTTGGGGCCGGCTGGGATTTCCCGGAGGTACTAAGACTGGAGTTGTTTCGGATGGAGACGTGGACAGTGACAGCACGGAGGTGGAGTTCTGCTGCCGGGATGACGGGGATGCCTCCTACCCTATCCGCCTGCCTGTCGGGACCCCCTTCTATCTGCTCAGACATGGAGGACAGTGCCAACAGGTACAGGAATATGTACTTATGACATCTAGATCCGTCCGTAGGATTTTAATATATAGCATTTTCATATTAGAAAAAAATTAATAAGTCGGCGTCTTCTTACTACATGCCTTTTGGTAGCGCTTCCAGCATCATTTACGTTGTCAAAAATTCATTTAATTTTAAAGTCACATGGCAATCCAAACTGCTTTTTACTATTTTTTTATAGTGGTTAAGTTTTCTTTAACTAAGTGGAAATAAATTTCTTTTTGTAGATTTCTCCTATATCATGTATTTATATCATCCAGTTCTTATGCATATTGCAACTCATCCTGCACCTTATCCTTAATTGATGACCTCTAATGTGTGTAATATTTTTGTTGATTTTGGCATACAAATAAAGGGCTGTGTTTTCTTCTTCTGTGTCTCTAGGTCGATGGAGCAACAGTTCTTGAGGAGTGGATTGAGTTCAGGGGAAACGGCCACAGGGCTGGCATGACTCCTGATGATGATGGTGAGGGCAACAGCCACAAGATCTACTACTGCTTCTACAGGGCATCCGGGTCATCACCCAACATCCCAGCTACACCGATCATCTCAGCTGCTGTACCAGTGCACACAACAAACGTAATCAACTATGTTGTCACCATCAGCCTTGTAGCTGGACCACGTGCCTTGCTGTAAACTCCTGCAATGTCAAAAGAAAACCAGATGATCCATATGATTATTTTCTATTTATAACCATTTAATGACCAACCCTTTTTAACTATTTTTTGACAGAATCTGGTCCCTTGTTCAACTTGTGGGAATATATTCCTTTTGGCAAAGAAACAAACGAAAAAAAATATTGTTCTATAAACTCTGCCTGATCTTTGAGATATATGCTAAAATATGTTAGATATTAAATTGAATATTACCTTTTATCCTTTATGAAAAGCAGACAAATCGATTATTTACTTCTATTCTGACATATGCAATATTTAAATCGTGATATGACTCATCTGCAACATCGCCCAGTGAGGTCTTAACATATCCAATGGCATGCTGTACTAAGATGTAATCAATCAATCAAGCCGCAAGCATCACAGTAGATGCATGGCGGCTGTAGCCATGTCCCTCCAGGATGTTCTGTAGATGATGTAAGCCGGATATATAATATTCTGTAAGTAGTATATCAATATTGTACTTGATTCATTGTGTGATCATGAGGTTTAAATCTACCTGTGGTATGTTTTTTTCCAAGTGATAGGCTTTGCAAGACTCTGTACACCATCTAGCAATGTTGTAATCAATTCTTGTGTGATTTTAATGCTACTAGTGCAAGATGCATATGCTCTGTGCACAGCATAGCAACATCGCCCAGTGAGGTCTTAACATATCCAATGGCATGCTGTACTAAGATGTAAGTGAGGTCTTAACATATCCAATGGCATGTTGTACTAAGATGTAAGTGAGGTCTTAACATATCCAATGGCATGTTGTACTAAGATGTAAGTGAGGTCTTAACATATCCAATGGCATGTTGTACTAAGATGTAAGTGAGGTCTTAACATATCCAATGGCATGTTGTACTAAGATGTAAGCCGGGTAATAGTCTGTAAGTAGTATATCAATATTGTACTTGATTCATTGTGTGAGGTTTAAATCTACCTGTGGTATGTTTTTTCCAAGTGATAGGCTTTGTAAGACTCTGTACACCATCTAGCAATGTTGTAATCAATTCTTGTGTGACTGTAATGCTACTAGTGTAAGATGTTCTGTGCACAACTTAGTTATATTCTAATTCATTCTTTGTGTGATGTACAATTATACTAGACAAGATGTTGGACTTACAATACTCTGTATAACATAGCGATGTTTAATTCATTCTTGTGTGATGTGCAATTAATTCTACTAGTGCAAGATTCACGACTTAAAGTACTCTATGTACTACGTAGCAATGATTTAATTCATTCTTTGTGTGATGTTTTATTCTGCTAAGTGTATTTAACACGCAGGACGTACAATACTCTGTGTAAAACCTAGCGATGTTCTAATTCATTTTTTGCTTTGTGTGGTGTGCAATTCTACTAGTGACAGGGTGTACAATGATGGACCATAGCCATGATTTTAGAAAGGAAGGAAGCAATTCTGCTACTATGGATCCATCCGTGTTAATGTGAAAATGTCATTTGTCATTATTTGAAATGTCATTTGTCATTATTTGAATTTGTTTAGATATTAACAATACACTTAAGAGGTTCATTATATCCAGTTTTGTGAATAGCTTTTGTTGTCAATTTTACCCTATTTAGATATATTTGATCGTAAGCAAAGAACTGTTATGTTACTAGCAATATCATGTTAATCAAAGGATGATTATGGGTGCAAAAATGTCACCCAGAAATGCCTTATAATTCTGTACATAAACATTTTATTTATATCAAGCACCTAAAAATAACAAATTACCATTCTAAGGCGCCTGTATTCGTACCTGCCTTTATAATACACATTTACATTCAGCTGGTACGTGGTATGTCCAATATGCCATCATCGGTTTGAACCCTTCAACCATTACAAATCATACACATCAATCAGGGGCGTAAAAAAGGACCACAGTCTACCAGACAAGCCTTTGACGATATTTCCACACCATATGTTCATGTAGAGAAAGGGCACGTACGTTAGAACATAGACTTAACGAGAGTGCAAAAGTGAAATTCATATATGATGTTACTGGCATCCAGCCAATCTCTGATTGGTCGAACCGATAATTGCCCTTCTCTCATTGGTTGAACTTCTAATTGTGATGGAAATTAATCATACATTTTACTGGCATGCAGCCAATTAATCTCTGATTGGTCGAACCGATAATTGCTCTTCTCTCATTGGTTGAACTTCTAATTGTGATGGAAATTCGGAATCGGTCTATTGTGCTCGTTGTATCCCTAAGAATAATCCCTCCTGACGGTTATGACTGGTCGCCGGCCGATGACGGGCATCTTGTACCTCTCCTCCCGTCTGAGCCGGCACATGATGTCCTGCACGTCACGTGGCCAGCGGTACAGGGTGGTGTTGCGAAGCCAGCGCGGACACGTCTCTCTGGAGTACCCTGTAGGGAGACAAAGAAAAATACAGTAAGGACAAACATAAAGACACAAACTCAAGGGGGGGGGGGCAACTCCTTTAACCCAGAACGTTCCTGCCAATCAAGTGAAACACAATCTTCGCCATCTCACATTGGAACCCAAACGTACAAATCTAGCATTGAGTACAGCCATCCAAAACAGCATATTCCAGGCCACCATCGCCTTGAACGCAGAGCTTCCAGGTCAAACCCTGTCAATCAAGAGAAACAAAATCTCTGCTCTCTCACTTTGGAACCGAAACATAAAAAAAAACTAGCATAGAGTAGCGCCACACAAAACAACACATGCCCTCAGCGACCACGTGCACATCCTTGAACTCAGGGCGTTCCAGGGTCATACCCTGTCAATCAAGTGAAACACAAGCTCCGCCCGCTCACTTTGGAACACAAACATAAAACCGTAGCATAGAGTAGCGCCACCCAAAAGAATACTTCTGTCCAAGAAGTAATTAACATCAGAACTATGCATAAGATAAGTTTGAAACAATGGTTTACAGGGTAAATCTCATCCCAATCTAGTAAACTCAATCTCCATCCGCTCACTTTGGAACCCAAACATAAAAACCTAGAATTACTAGCGCCACTCAAAACAATACCTCCGTACCGTAGCTATAGTCTCCACCAGACTTCTTTTGCGGGGTGACTAAATCGCGGGTCAATGGAGCTTCTCTGGCCGGCTATCTTCTCTGGCCAATTAATACCCTTTTTAGGCCGATTTCTACGATTTATTCACCCCGCAAAAGAAGTCTGGTGGAGACTACCGTAGCTATATATGAGGCGAGTTTTAAACAATGGTTTACCGTCTAAGAGGACTGGGATGACTTTATAGTTGATGCACTTGTTCTCCAGATAGATGGTCTGCATGGCCGTGTTGATGTACCGGGTGTTCAGGCCGTGGTCGTCGTCCTCGTGCGGGCCCTGACCGTCCACATCCCGCCGGTACTTCGGGCTGCACACCACGATGATGAAATCAGACTGTACATGTGCAGGGACGAGATGGTGATAAATTCAGTTATCATACAACAATTTTACAACGTATCCAATATCTATATCGAATTTCTAGCCTTCAATATAGTCAAGTCAGGTCAAGTTTCTTGCGCAAAAATTGCATTGGATACAATGTATGGCAAACTAGAGGTCGGAGATCTCATGTCTTCGTCAGAGGTACATCGTTCTAGAGAAATTAACATGCGTATTCTTCACTCTTTTTAATAATCAATTTGGTCTAAAGAACAAAAGAATCTCTGTACTATTTTTATGGTACAGAACACCCTGAAACGGTTTGCCGCAGATTATACAGATGCGTCGTCACCCGTGTTAGCCCCCCCCCCCTACGTTATTTGAGTTTGGACTGTTACTGGAAAAAAAAACGTTCAAGAAATTCTTACTGTGTTGAAAAGTGTCACGACAGCGCCGCAAAATATAATAAGAGAAGATGTTATAAAGGAAAGAATCAGAACAGGGTGACTACTGCTGTTTTGTTAATTTGTCTTTATGACAAATAGAAGACTTGTTTCTTGTGTTCTTTGTGTCCTAACATTTGTACTTCTACAGTTAGTATATTCCAAATCTAGGCATCTCGTTTTTCGGCCCTTCGTGTTTTTATTGCGCGCTTGCCTTAAATTTAAGGTAATTAGATTTAAGGTCTCCAGTGGACGTCATCCATAGCAATTACTTGGTGTGGCCGTAGAAAATAACCTGACATATGTCCAACCCTATCCTCCCCCTGCTGAAGTTATAGTACAATCCCTCAATGTAACGTCATTTGATCCCATCCCATTATGGGGTTCCCCAGCTATATCCAGCTGTCGGCTGTCTCCAAGCAGATGTAGGTGGGGGATTTCTAAACACAAAAGGTCCTATTACGGGGACATAACGACCTCCACGACTCTCATCTTTGAACTCAATCTTGGAGACCACGACAGTAATATGCCTATCAAATTTCATTAACTTCCATCCACACATACAAAAGTTATCCTGCTCACAAGAAAAATTAACAAAATGCCCCCTGTAGTCACAACGAAACCCCCCACGAAGCTCAGTAACGAACTTAACCTTGGTCCCGACAATAGTAAGCACCACACCAAGAATTATAATCAACATTTTACAAATACTTGAGTTATCTTGCTAACAAGCCACAAACACAAAAGGTGCACTAACGTGACGCACGGACCCCCCACGAAGCCGAAACTTGTACTTGACTTTGGCCTCAACAGCGGTGATATGCCTGCCAAAAATCATGGACGTCAAATCATGCCTTCCAGAGTTATATCGCAAAATCCGCAGTTCCCCACACTCCGGCGAGACAATTTCATAGTCCTTCTGACGAAGACAATAACACTTACTAGCTATAAACTACTTCTACTAGACTGAACTAATCTAACTTGTCGAATACATGTATATATGTTATAATGGAATATTACATTTCACATCGTTGTGATATGGTTTCTCTTTTGTATAGCATTATGTACATATTAACCTACTAGGTAAACAGATACCGAGTCGGGGCACGATAAAAGCATGTTGAAAATTTCTCTACTTGTCCCAGGTAGCGTTATTTTGTTCTTACATGATATCATTAGTTTTTTTCCTTTCTTCGATAGAGCAAGGACATGTCATTACGAAATGGTACCCATCTTCAACTTTGTCCTTGAGATAGGAATATATACACCGAGGTCGTTCCCAAAAAGTTCGGCAGACTTATAATAACTAGGCCAGCGAAAGAACAGAAACGTATCCCGTTATAATTAACCACCTACTAGGGCCCCATATGAACAAGGCTTAGCATAAGAAGGCTAAAACGTGTTCGAATTCGTCACCTAAAAGCAGATTTCTTCGCGACTGGGGACAAGATAAGACACTACTTAGTGTTGGCCATTCCATAGAAATCTGCTTGCAGATTGAGGTATTCGCTACAGAATTATATTCCGATCCATAACAACTCTAAACTTTGTCCTATACGAATGAACACCACTGACGTTTTCAACTTTATCATCCAGCCACGCCGTCTTGTTCGTCGCCATGAAGTGCCGCTGAAACATGTCCACTTCCACGAAGTAGCCGCCTTGATAGAACAGGTGCCGGGCCATCCTGAGAACCGCGGATAGGTGCTGCTGGCTGTCGTTGGAGTATGTGATGAACACTCTCTCCCGCCTAGCCGCTGGGGTTACTATGCCTGTGCCTACAACGTAAAAACGTAAAAGAATTAAAGTTAAAGAGCCTTCCCGCGTCAAGTGACGCATAGGGCGGCGAACATGTCCGTTTTCAATAGCCCCGAGACACGTACAGTAGTGCAATTACCACCAGGGCAGGGTACTAGTCGACTGTCACTAGTACTCCTTCCCAAATGCCGAGAGCTGAGCAGAGATCTAGAAAGCAAAATGTACTGGCCATTTTTAAAGTCTTTGGTATGACTCGACCAGGGATCGTTAATACCGAATGCAAGGCGAGCACTCTACCCACTTGGCCATTGCACCGGTCAAAAGAATAAATGCATGCAGTATGAAAACTATCTAAACATGGCGTCATAGGTGAGTTTGGCGCCTGGATGACGTCGTATCTCAACGTGGCGGCACCCATCCCGACCTTGTTTGTTTGTTTGTTTGTTTACCATACAGATGAAAACTTAAGGCCTTAACTATCGTAGCCGGATATTTGAATATTTTACTCATCTTCATCAAGGTCTATAAAGCGTTCCAAAATTCATAAGTTATAATAAAAGGAACTTCTCTGCTGCAGTAGCAACTGTTTTTTTAGCTGATTGTATATATGGCAAGAAATTGGACATAGTAAAACACTGGGCATTTCAGAACTTCACAAAAAAGGTAACACAGTCTGATATTGTACCCAAGGGAATTAATCAATAATGGACACACAACACAACCCAGACTCAGGCCAGGGTTACCTACTCTTCAACATTTTGCCCTGCTTTTCCAAAAGTAACAGTAACAAGTAACAGTCACACCTCATTTACCTCCCCGCACACGCCCGACCACACCCCTTATAATTACACTCAGGCCAGGGTTACCTACTCTTCAACATTTTGCCCTGCTTTTCCAAAAGTAACAGTAACAAGTAACAGTCACACCTCATTTACCTCCCCGCACACGCCCGACGACACCCCTTATAATTAGACTCAGGCCAGGGTTACCTACTCTTCAACATTTTGCCCTGCTTTTCCAAAAGTAACAGTAACAAGTAACAGTCACACCTCATTTACTTCCCCGCACTAATCCCGACCACACCCCTTATAATTAGACTCAGGCCAGGGTTACAACCACCCCCCTACCGGGCGGCCAGGCCAGGCCGATCGGTGAAGATTAGAATCTGTCCACCAGTGTGGCCTAATTAGTAACAGCAGTCTGCAGTGGTCTGGAACCAAGAAACCTCCTGCTCATTTGGGACATATTCACAGTTCCAATTACTGTCCCCTGCTTATCCTGTCAGAAGCAGCAGTCTTTCCACAGATCAGTATGTCTAAGAGAAAGCGTAGCATGGAAGACAGGGTTGAAATATTGCAAAAGAAGGTCGACGCAGAGAATGAGATTAACACTCTCGTGTCCGGCCTTCAACAGGCCAACCCAGAAGAGGCACCTCCACAAAATTCCATTTCTATACTGATAGCAAAGTTTGGATATTCTTCTCTTGAAAAAGTTGTGGCTCTGGAGAGAAGCATGCCCACAACACTGCCCCGTGCGATTCGGGACAAGTTGTTGGCAGAGATTGCCAGGGATCGTGGATTGGCAGACTTTGGAGAGATTCACGAGGCCATAAGGGATTTGCCAATCATCCAGCCAACAGATGACTCTGATCCAGCCAGTGTCGCAGTGTTGATGCCACCAACGGACACATGTTTAAATGGCTGCGAAGATAAATCTGGCAACATTGGCAAACTCACTCTCCACAGTCCTGCCACGGACGTGACCTACCACAGTATCGATGGTCCATCTACCAAAAAAAAAGTTGGCTTAAAGTGTCGAAAATGCCAGACAAACTATGGTTTTGCCAAGTATGGAGACAAAGAAAGGGGGTACCGCTTTTACCCAACTGAGAGATTTGCCATTGAAGCTTCTAACTGCACATATGTAGACAGACGTCTATACAACCTGCAGTTGTCATTGAGGTTAGTCTTATTATACACTCTCTGCAGTATTTTGTTTTTCTTCAGTTCTCAAAGTTTGCCATGTGTCATGTGTATATCTCAATTTTTTAAGATTTTCTGTATATACTTTATGACAAACTCTCTTCCAGAAACGTGCCTGATTTTTTTAGTAACAATATTAAAAATGTTAGCACTGCTTTGGTGATGCATAAAAAATTTGATGTTATTGTACGGGAGGGGAGGGGATGCTGGCGGGAAAGTAACGTTCCAGACTTCCATTTATGAAAGCCCTACATGTACCAAGATCAGGGCTGTCTCCAGCTTTCAATTTTTTTCCGTCCCAGTCACTGCTTGGGAGGGGAGGGCCGAAGGCCTGACGCAAGCGCCGCAGGCGCTTGCCTATCTAGGGGGATCCGGGGGCATGCTCCCCCGGAAAATTTTAAAAATCCAAACCCTCTCAAACGCTATTTTAGGCATTTTTAGAAGCAAGATTCTTTTTAGTTTGACTGCAGAAGCCCAGGTTGACAATTTTTGTTGTTATCTCCTTTGATAAAACTGCTTTTATATCATAAAGCTTATATTTTTGGGACGGATGGAGTGATGTTGGCTGTTGTTGCAATTTTCTAGCATTCTAGTGATTACGGAATAAGTGACGAAATTTGGAGTTTTGTGGAAACACAACATGCGCCGCGTCCACCTTGCTGTCCCATCTTTTCGAAAGATTTTCCGCTGTGTCGCTGGGTGCAAACGTATTTCCATGCATTCAGTAAATGATAGACATGTATAGGGGTCATATTCATATGATTCTTTATTGCTCATGAACACTGATTTTAGTGGCATACATCGAAGTGCGGTCATGTCGCCAACTGACCGTAAACTACCCCTTCAACTTCAAGTAAACCGGTAACCTTGCGATACCATATGTGGAACGTGGAGTACAGGGTAGAAGAAGAAATGGTCCCAAAAAGGTGGATGATCCACCAGTTTGGTTAGAAAAGGGATTATATATTTGGAACGTCCTTGACTGAACCAAACAGAGACTTCCGGTGGACAGATTCTAATCTTCACCGATCGGCCTGGCCTGGCCGCCCGGTAGGGGGGTGGTTGTACCCTGGCCTGAGTCTAATTATAAGGGGTGTGGTCGGGCGTGTGCGGGGAGGTAAATGAGGTGTGACTGTTACTTGTTACTGTTACTTTTGGAAAAGCAGGGCAAAATGTTGAAGAGTAGGTAACCCTGGCCTGAGTCTAATTATAAGGGGTGTGGTCGGGCGTGTGCGGGGAGGTAAATGAGGTGTGACTGTTACTGTTACTGTTACTTTTGGAAAAGCAGGGCAAAATGGTAGGTAACCCTGGCCTGAGTGTAATTATAAGGGGTTGGGCCAAACGTGTGTTTAATACTGCGAATTCTGGAGAAGCAGGGCAACATGTTGAAGAGGCTGTTGTTACTGTTCAGCTTGAGTGAGTGTCGATTATCCTTTAATTCCATCGAGTGCAAAATTAGACTATTACCTTTTCTGTGAAGTTGCTGATTCCCAAGGGAGGGGTAAAATGAACCCATGCTGTTGGTTTTATCTGTGGTAATGGACAGTCATGTTATTTTAAAAACCTAATGGACTGATGGGCTATCTATATTGCTATCTTGTAGTTTTGTTACCTTTTTTCTTCTCTTCTTCTTTCATTTGAGGCAGCCGCCTTCAACATGCTGAAGATTCTGCTGCCTTTTGTGGCTAGTACGAGATGGGGTTCGCCAGGCCTCCATCCGGGTGATTTGTAGTGAATCACCAACTCCCAGACAGTAGAATTTTGTACCATCGCACACCGGGGCATGCCCCTACTCTTTTTCGAAAGGTGTGGTGGGTTCTTTTACGTGCGCGGGGTATGGCTCTCCCCAAACACGGGACCTCCATTTAACGTCCTATCCGAGGGACGGCCCTAACCGAGGCTAGGTACTCCTGAGTGAAGTGAGGAAAGTCGTGTAAAGTGCCTTTCCCAAGGGCACAAGATCGGTGACATGGGTGGGGATCGAACCCATGGCCTCTAGGTCCTGAGCCGAAAGCGCTACCGCTGCGCCACACGACCCCACTAGTGAAGTTCTGAAATGCCCTGTGTTTTAGCATGTCCAATAGTTTGCCACTACTGGCTGATTGAGATTCTTTGTACATGTAAATTTTAATTCAGTGTTATACTCACTGCGAAAACGAATAAAGTCATCTTGTATCTAGTTAAAGCAGCTAGAAGGCCGGTAATCGAACATGCACTTCGTTTTGTTGACAACCACCCAGAAATAAAATACCTTGATGGATCCATCTACAACTTCTCAAGTTATGGTTTCCATAGACAAACATACAAAACGCACTGAGAACATTTTTTGAGGGTAACAATAATGATATACCAACGCTCCAATGTTCTTAAAACATAATCGGATGTTTCTTACCAGCAGGTCTTTGCAAAGAGGGCGGTGGGCTAAAAAGTGAAAGTGAAAGTGAAAGTGGCGGTGGGCTTGGCGGTGGTGTAGCCGGTGGACTGACAGATGGGCTGGGCGGTGGGCTGGGCGATGGGCCAGGTTCGTAGCCAGGAAAACTGCAGTACCCTTGCGACACACTAGAGCGCGCGTGTGGATGGTGCATGAAAACAGCCATGTTGGTAATGTGGGGAGAAATGACCCGGGATTCGGATCACAGCAGTCGGTCCCGAAATTCTGAATCAGTATACCTGTATGTAAAATATGAAACGTGACATCATTAAGCACTAAAAGAACTGAAAATATCCAAAAGATACAGTTGTATAAATGCTAAAGGCTGGCAATGCACACGCGACAGGAAAGATCATACATGTACAATGTATGTGCACCGTGAACACAGTGGACCCTTCAAAATTCTTCTGGAGGTCTATACGTCATATAAGGCCATGTTGATTTGATTATATGGATGACATCGACGCACGAATGAATTTTCGCCCCCCCCCCCAAAAAAGTTCTCAATTATACTGTAAATCGCACAAAACAGTTGTAAAATGAGCAAAAAAAAACATAAGTTGCAAAAAAATATATTTGAAAACGATACCAATGTCGTATAATGCCGAAATCAAACGAAAAAGACGAAAATGTAAAGAAATGAATTTCAAGAGTAGATCATTCGCCATGTGTCATTGTTCAACCTTCATGACCACGTAGATCTTAGAATAAAATATTGGTCCGCAAGTTTCACTGGTGGAATGATCGTTGAAACAGTCCCGATGAATTTTTAAACTTTATTTACCAGATCATCTTAGTCAAAATCTACTAAAAGACATCCTTACCTACTAAACCCATTTTTTTCTGGACATAAACCGGAAACACAACATTAATTTTCTTTGGCCTAAATGACCTACTGTAACCTGTGCAAACTAAACGCCCAGCAGTCAACACCTGAAGCTAGGGGATTCCCCATTACGTCATTGTCTCACAGGTCACAAGACCTACCGGGGTGGAGCCAAATCCTTGAGCCGCCAGATACGTGAGAGGTCAGGTGTTTAGGGATAGAATAAGGGCTAGGGTTGGCATTAGAGTTAGAGTTAGGGTTAGGGTTAGAGTTGGGATCATTGTTCAGGGCTAGGATTAGACTTACTATTGGAGTTAGCTTAGGTTTAGTCTCCCACATCACGACTAAACCCCTCCCACCCCTTGTCTCAGGTATATTAAAAGACCCCTAGTAGTGTCGGAGTCATGTATTTGGCAGGATCATGTATATGGCTTGACAACGCCTAGCTTTTACAAACATGTAGTAGCCTAAGCAAGCACATGCGGAGTTTATATGCATGTAACAATTGTCCATACAAAAGCTTCATGGAGTATATACTAAGTACTAGTACGTTTGTGGAACTACAAAATCAACATAGGCAGCACACTTTAGCACAAAGGCGTCTGCTCGAAAACTTTCGAAACCCCTCAGGCAACTTCCCCTTTTTTGGTCTGGACGCCATGTTTGTTCACACAATACCGTTAGAAAATCCACTACTACCTAAACTTCATACACTGCAATCGAACTTAAGAATGGTCATGCCATTTTCTACTTGAGACAAATGTAAACATTTTGATTCAAGATATTCTGGCTAATTGCGCAATCCATTTGTGCATTTGTCCGAATCTCCCAGCAGAATTGTTTTGGTGGTTGCTAGACAAAAGACAGTGTCAAATTGGCAAGACAGTATCATTTAAAGAGCAGTATCCAAAAGTAAAAAGATACCAGTAAAGTAACGAAAAAATCCGATAAAGCATCTAAAGACGTCAAGAATATGTGGAAAGCCAAAACCACTACTTGGAGAGTACAACTTGAAATGCTTACCTTCGTAGTCAGATTTAGGTCGATCTTGCCAAGGCCTCAGCCCAGCTTGACGGTTGTTTATCAAACTAGATCAGCGGGTTCTCAGAAAAAGTATGACGTCGGACCAGCTCATTGGTAGACTCAAGAAGGTTATTAGTATAATCCATATAACCCCCATGGTGAAGTAATGCTTTGTCTTTGTGCTGTGGTATTTAATACGTCTACGCCCTACAATTCCATCTGCCGCGAGCAACTCAATGACCGGAAACTCTAGAACCTGATACTCGTACTCGTACATATAATGTACCTGTGTAATTACCAGTTGTGTGTGTACGTTTCTGTGTGCTTTGTTAGGACTGTTCCATTGGAACTGCTAAAGAGGGGTGGAGGAGAAAAATATTTCAACCTTTTTTTTTTCACCACAGTTTTTGGTCAGTTTGCTTAAGTTTAGAATGTTCATGGACATTGATATTTTTGGAGGTTTCATAAGTCCACACCAATTTGATTTGTTGGTTTTTGATTGTTTTCAGAAAAAGTATAACATTTAAGTGACTGGGCGAAGAAAAAAAAAACTGACCTTTTTTTCCTCAGTTTTTTCCTCTGATGGCCACAAAAGCTATGTTAGGAGCCAGGAAGTCAACATACCAGGCTGGTGTGTAATTCAAACAATAAATTTTAACCTTTTTATTAAACCAAAGTATAGATAGATGGAAAAAAACTGCAACAAATAGTAAGTCAAGGAACTTTTTTCAACTGTCGGGAGAAAAAAAAATTGGCGTTGAATCAGAACCTGAATCTTTTTCTTTTTTATGCAAATCATGAAAAAATTAAGCGGGCATATTCGAGAACCAATTAATTAAATTGGTTGTGGCCTAATATTGGTTTATATGGAGAACAGTACACGTTTTTGGAGTGCTCTCTAGTCCCATTCAAACGTATCCGTGACAATATAGTGACCCTTTCTACCACAACTTTTTTTCAGGAACAAATGTAAAGAATAATTTTTAACCAAGTTGCCTGCTTTTTCATATCACTAAAAGTATGCCCTTATTTGTAATATGATATTGAAATATGATAGCAAGAAGTATATAATATCAAGGTTTGCCATTGAAACTTTTATTTCAAATAGACTGTAATAGCTAGCTTTCATTGCATGTATATCAAAATAGCATACTTCTTGAAATACTTTTGCTATCATATCAGTATGAAATTGCAATTTTCATATTCCTTAACATCATAATCATGACAAATATGTACAATGTAGATATCAACCTTACAATAGAGTAATTAAACATATGAAATAAAACCACCACCCAAACAAGTTAAACTACATTGTATCTAAGAATGTTGTCCTGACAATACATATTACAGTATATTAACTTCTTTCTTGCTCAATCTTACTTAAAACAACAACTATAACCTTACCAAGATGCTATGATTATGAATAACAATATACAATGCCACAGATATCTTATTGGCCTTACAAGGAGCTCTTTGGATTATCAATCACGAATACTGCCAAAATTTAAAAAAAAAATGACAAAACACCATACATTGTAAACGCACACACATACATAATACTGATTCACTCAAACAACAGATGCATAATATACATACACAAAATACATTTTATACACAATCAATCATACATTCATGTACACTCACAAAAATGAGACAACTGTATCAAATTTGGGGCAAATACTTGCAAGCAAGGCAAAATGAGTTTGTACATATATCGCAAATGTAAACATATACATGTACAGTCACCAATATAACTTCTTGCAATATTCCAGCACCATAAAAACTAAAACTTAATATGATGCAAGATACTAGATTGTGGCCAAACAAAGCATATCTATATCAATATGCAAGTTATATATTACACTACATATATTTCATATGTACTTGAGATGTGAACATTGAGCTTTCCTTTCTTCTTACTATTTAACTGTTCAATCAAAATAAGACATATGATGCCAAATCCTAGCCCATGAGAAGTGGAACTGCTGATTTAAAGTTCCTAGAATTTAAATCCTATAGTATATAAGACCAAAGAAAAATTTAAAAATTAATTTAGTAAATAATCAACTTTAGAGGGCCTCTAAGAAATACATAGATTTCTCTATGATTGTCTAGATATGAAAGTTCATTTGACTGGTCTAAAAACATAGCTGGTGCCATAGTTTGTAGACTGCTTATTTCACCTTTTAATACATCTTTCAGAGATATGAACAGCCAGAAATCATAAATCTGCTACAGTAATAATATTTTGTAGTTTACCCAACAATTTTTGTAACTCAGAATCATAAAGAAAGTCAGGCAATTGATGAATGAAAACAATTATAGCTACACATGTAAGCCTCCAAATGCCAAAGGCCAGGACTTTGTGCATTTAGGTCCTAAGAGTTTTGGCCATTGCACAACATGAGGGCCTTTACTGAATCCTTCAACACTGATGAAGGGGTGTGTATGGAGGTTATGTGTGGTCAGGATTTCCTCTGATGCAGGGGCATGTATGGGGGTTACACTTATCAGGATTTTGCATGATGCAGGGGCATATATGTTCTTGGTAATGTGTTGTCAGGATTTTACCTTATGCCAGGGTATGTAAAGGGGTTATGCGTGATAATCAAATCAAAATCAAATCAAATCAACTTTATTGCTCAACAACTGTAGCTGGTACAATGTATGGCAAAGAAACAACAACAATGGTACATACATCAACTAATACTAAGATATAATTCTAACTAGCTAGTCCATAATGATACTAAAGCTAATCTATTGTGTTTTCTTAGGAAGAGTATTATTACATTCTGTAATTCAGGGGATATATCAGCTATTTACAATCTGGTGTCGCTTTTGTAGTGATTCGAATATGAATTTTCCAACGTACACTGATATCTGAGTAGGACATGAAAGGAGAGTATTAAAGATATCTGATTTTGAGTGAGGTAGCGTAACATTAGTTTTGGAAGCTATGGATTGCATCAATTTTTGTCTGTTTTCTTCATATGTTGGACATGACATCATAAAATGGAATTCGTCTTCAATACCCTCCTTGCATGTCGGACACAATCTCTGATCGGCTGGTGTGTTATAATGACGGCCCTTTTCGATTTCCAGGCCATGTGAACTTATCCTCATTTTAGTTATGCTTGTCGTAAAAGATTCGTTTTGAATTGATGATAGATACTTTTCCAAGCCGAAATGTTTTTTAATTTTAGAATAAGTATGAAGTTTATTGAATTTTCTTATATAATGATTTAGCCTTATGCAGGGGTATGTATGGGGGTTACATGTTGTCCGGGTTCCATCTGATGCAGGGGTCTGTATGGGGGTTATGTGTGATAAGGATTTAGCCTGATGCAGGGGTCTGTATGGGGGTTACGTGTGGTCCGGGTTCCGTCTGATGCATGGCGGTTTCCCGATGGCCGGCGTGGGAAACCGTTCGCGGCGCCTCAGTCTGGCCATGATGTCCTGGATGTCCTTGGGCCAGTAGAAGATGGTGGTGTTGTGAAGCCATCTGGGTACACAATCACGCGAAAAACCTGCAGGGGCACACATTTTATTGCACGTTTATTGAACATCTTATGGTCTCAGTATTAAAGTACCAAAAATTATATGGTAGATTTTCTGTAATGATAGGATTCCAGCCCCTCCAACTCTGTCCTGCAACTTGCAACATAATGTAACCCAAGACCACAGGGTGTCTACTACAGCACCAGTTACTATGATGACAGACATCGATCTGGTCCAGGTTGACCTCATATATTTAGAAGGGAAGAAGAAACAGAGCAATAACACTTTCCTTCTGTGAAATATAAACATAACTAAGAAACAAACTGAATTGAATGACTATCATGAAAGTTCATCTGTTGGTAGTTACATTTAAGTTAAAACTTTTGGTCCAACACAAAAAAGTTCTCCCACCAAGAGCTTTCAACCAGTCACTCTGGTCGTCGTCAGTAGACTGACCCAGTGAAGCTAATGTCACGTGGCGTCTTTGAAGCATGACATCAACACTGGGTCAAGTTCTCAAAGGTATCTGGTAGATGCGATGGGGGCCGACATCGTCTACCAAATACCTTTGACCCAGTGTTGACGTTACACTTCAAAGAAGCCACGTGACAATTGCTTTATTTTAAGCTTCACTGGGTCAGTCTACTGAGTTAGACCAGAGTGACTGGTCGAAAGCTCTAGTCTAGGTGGGAGAACCTTTTTGTTGGACCAAAAGTTTTGAATGCCGTACCATCAAAGAGGATGGGTATGAAGCGATAGTTGCAGGCCTTGTTGTCCAGGTACTCGGTCTGGAGTGACCGGTGGATGTACAGGGTGTGCAGACCGTCAACACTCTCACTCTTCTTCTCCACATCCACCATGTATTGCGGACTGCAGATGATGATCACAAATGCTGCCTGGGTGGGCAGAAAAAAATATCAAATTTGTATTCATGATAGATTAATACAACTATATATATGGTATAAAGTTTGTAAATAGCTAAAATAGAACTGTTATTAAAATGTAATTTTCAATATTGAAATTTTGTTAACTCCAGCAAGATCAGCTACAAAATTAATGTACATGACTTCATTGTAAGAAAGTTACAGAAGTTGATAAATTAAAAGAAGTATTCTAGTATCCAGTCCAAAGTGAGCATCACTATGAATTCTACCAACACAGATGAGCTTTCAGTTTAAGTACTAATTATATCCATAACTTTACCCGTAACATGAAAATATAGGTATTGTTTTCAGTTTGTCTGTGTCTGTGTGTGTTTGTGTTTCAGCATACTTGTGGTCAGCATGTGGATGTCATTTGAATATTAATTTTACATGTTGAAAAAAAAACTTGCCAATTGCCAAAAGGGTACAGGACTTTCACATAGGAAATATAAGTATGTACATGTAATTTGAGTTGAGAAAACTATATATAAAACGGAATTGTGCTAAATGTAATATTTATCACATTCGCATTATCAATGAGTCGGACACAAATGAAGAAAAATTATACAAATTCTCTAAACATTTCATGTAGGTATGATACCTCCGAATTCTTGTTTCACATTAAGATGATACATTATGAAAAGAGTGCGTATTGTCCAGTGATTGGTGGCACTATAAAAAGCACACTGCACACAGACCAGGATGCAGGTGTCCTGGTCACACGAAGCTCAAAGGTACATCATTCACTAGTATACAAAGTTACAAGTTATTTAAAGGTGTCATGTAACATACACAAAAAATGTTTTTGAGAAAAGCTGGCTTGGGGCCAAGATGTGAATATACATGTAGCTGGTATCTATAGTTTGTATTTTTGTTAAGGGGTGATGACAAAATAGGTTGCAGCGTCACTTTGTCTTGAAGTTCGTCTTGATGTTAGCTTAAATTTAAAAAAAAATAAATGATTTGGTGGCATGAATGCTATGACCATGTTTGACTCACATAATTGGGTATAAGAGTTACTGACAATAAACAGGTGGCCTTGTAGCCCCTAGCAAAAAGCTCTGCATATAATTTAGATCAGGTCTATTTTAATTTAGTAATACATACTAGTAATATAATATACTATATTAGCTAGATGAATCTATTTCCCCCATATACAATTCTGGTCATTAATATCCAATACACTTACAAATAAGTGCTGGTCATGACCCAAAATTGAACACACGTTTCATTCCAATGTCTAATATATTGGGTGACCCCAATGGAACACTACGAAAAGGACATAAATTGCAAATGTTTAATACAAAACAAAAAAATAGTTACTAAAAAAAGTACAAGGCCATATAGGGTCATTAACCCTATAGTAATTGGCAAATGTTTCCATCAGATGAACTTTAAACATGATCTATTTGCCTTTGAAGATATTTAAAACTCAAAAGTGCCGAGGAAGAACAGCCCTTTGAATCAACAGGAATTGTAATTATAGCTCATATCCTGTGAGTAATATAATTAGCAGATCTCACTGAAAAACAAGTTTGCTGTGGGTATAAAAGTGGTCCAACCTGCAACTATATACTGTACATATGCAGAGGAAGACTGGGGACAGATCCAACTTGAAAAATGATTTCCTGCATCAAACCAAAGGTAACTTAGATGATGTCTACCTGTACCTACATTTTTGTAACCTGCACAGGTTCATGTACTCGGGGTATATTATAGTATTTAGTGCAGATAGAATTAGAGCTGTGCAGGTATACGTATTTCTGATGTCTACCTGCACCTAACCTGCACTGGTCCATGTACTGGGTATATGCAGGTTAGTGCAGGTAAAATTGGAGCTGTGCAGGTATTTCTGATGTCTTAGTGACCTGCATCTAACCTGCACTGGTCCATGTACTGGGCATTATGCAGGTTAGTGCAGGTAAAATTGGAGCTGTGCAGGTATTTCTGATGTCTACCTGCACCTAACCTGCACTGGTCCATGTACTGGGTACATGCACCTTAGTGCAGATAAAATTGGAGCTGTGCAGGTATTTCTGATGTCTACCTGCACCTAACCTGCGCTGGTTCATGTACTGGGTACATGCACCTTAGTGCAGATAAAATTGGAGCTGTGCAGGTATTTCTGATGTCTACTTGTACCTACATGTAACCTGCACTGGTCCATGTACTGGGTATATGCAGGTTAGTGCAGGTAAAATTGGACCTGTGCAGGTATTTCTGATGTCTACCTGCACCTAACCTGCACTGGTCCATGTACTGGGTATATGCAGGTTAGTGCAGGTAAAATTGGAGCTGTGCAGGTATTTCTGATGTCTACCTGCACCTAACCTGCACTGGTCCATGTACTGGGTATATAAGTGATCACCCTTTTTTTCAGACTAGCCTGACCTTCAGTCTAGGGACCGTACTTATCTTGCTTGCGGCTGGCGGCATCACATTTTCTGCTGAGATTCGTCAACCACAAGTCGCTCAAGGTATTATTGAAATTTTTTTACATCTCTTCTTAGGATAAAAGTTGAAAGAAGGGAGTAAAAATATTTGATACTTTATTTCACAAGAAAAGTTGGGAGGGTAACAAAAGCTTATGAATCAGATGTAACAGTTTGTTAAAATGGGGACAAGAAGGTCCCCATCTTCTGAAAAGCGACAGACAAAAATCATATAAAACCAGATTTATGCACTCTGGCTCAGTAGTACTTAAGTGACCTTTCTGCTGGCCTAAATATTATTCAAAACTGCCTGCTGCATTTGAGTATTGAATGAGTCAAAATCCAATTCAACAGTCTTTGTTCATATGAACAATAATTCGTAAAATGATAAGTATAACTGTTAATTCATAAAGTGATAAGTTTCATGTACATGACATTGTTTGTGCCTTTATCTGGGGTGCAAATTTGCCTAACATGCATATGCATGTTTTCTTGTGCTTGTTAATCAATCAAAGCACATGTACTGACTGTTAATGTATTTTGACTGAGTGTGTTTTTTATAGATGAAAGTTTGAACCCCCCTGTGAATGTTGACGGCCAGAGGAATGACCCACCCTCCGGTGCTGCTAGCTTCGAGGACTGTGCAGAGCTCTACACTGTGCTCTTCTTCACCAACGCAGTGCAGGACGGAGTCTTCCCCATTAAACCTGAGTCTTCCACCGACCAGTTTGACGTCTACTGTGACATGACTACAGATGGTGGGGGCTGGACTGTCATACAGAGGAGGGTGGATGGGAGACTCAACTTTGACAGAAAATGGGCAGACTACCAAAATGGGTTCGGGAGGGTCGAGGGGGAATACTGGCTCGGACTGGATAAAATTCACAACCTGACATCCCAGAATAGCTATGAGTTGTATGTGGAGTTACAGGATTGGGAAGGGAACTTTGCTCATGCTAAATATGGTACATTCAGCATTGGGGATGAGAGTACAGATTATACACTGACCATTGGGGGGTACAGTGGGGATGCTGGAGACTCTATGGAGTGGGATAACGGTATGAAATTCAGTGCTAGAGATGTGGACAATGATGAGAGTGATAGTCAGTCCCGTGTGCCACACTGTGCTCAGTACTGGTCAGGCGGCTGGTGGTTTAATGCCTGTTCTTACTCTGCCCTGAATGGTCCCTACTACCAGCCAGACAACTACCATGGTAGCAAGACGGGGCCTGGTGTGTTCTGGTATCACTGGAAAGGTCCCGGCTACTCGCTGAAGGCCACCAAGATGATGGTGCGACCTTAAAACTTTACCCACAAAATGGAACTCTAAGTCTAACAGCAGCTAAATCATACAAAGATGCAGGGTTGGACAAGTCCAATTGCCCACTTGCATAGGACGAGTAAAAGTACTGTTCAGGCAAGTGCATGTGTTCCCCTACATGTAGCTAGACTTGCCCGATTGAGCAAGTAAATTTTTTAGATGCAAAGTATAGCCGCTACAGTTTTGGAGCAAGTCAAAACACCTTCTTTCGATAAATAAAGCATTCAACTTTATAAACTCCAAAATAACATAATTTCCTTGATGGTAGCAAAAAGCATAGAAATTTGTATATTTGGGGAGAGTGAAAAGTTGGTTCGGGCAAGTGGAAATGACCTGTACTTGCCCGATAGGACTAGTGGAATTTTGAAAACTTGTCCAACCCTAAGATGCCTTTTCACTTTGCTTGGCTCTATTCTAAAAACTGAGGGTGAGGGATACTACCGGTAACCATTTTAAGTCACTGTACTTTTTGTTGTGTCAATAAAGCTTCTATGATTATGTACAATGTAGTCCGACGCACCTTCTTGATTCTGTTGTCCAGCCAGCCCATCTTGTCGATGCCAGCGAAGTGTCGTGCGAACATGTCCACTTCCACAAAGAACCCTTCCGCAAACAGCTTCTTGGCCATGTCTAAGACCCGTACCAGATGGATCTCGTTGTCTTTGGAGTAGGTGATGAAGATCCTCTCAGCTGTCGCTGGAAGAACAGTCATGTTTTGTGTTAGATCAAGGCCACATCAATTTGATTACTGGTAATTGGTTCTAAGATTTGCCAGCTTCATTTTTTCCTGATTTGCAAAAAAAAATCAAGGCTACTCCAAAAATGCTTATATTTTGACAAAAGCAGTTGAAGAAAGATCCTTGTCTAGTTTTTACATTTTTTTCTATCTATCAAATTAATACATTGTACATTGGGTTCATAAGAAGTTTAAACTTCATTGTTTGAATTATAAACCAGCCTATTATTATGTTGAAATCATGGCTCAAATCGTATCTTCGGGGGCTATCAGGTCTTTATTTGCCCTGTTGCATCACATTTTTTTTAAAATCAAAAAACCATCAAATTAAATTGGTTTACTATAAAAAAAAATCTGACTCTGATGTGTGATACTGGCCCTAATTCCCAAAAGATTTTGAAGAAATGACAATTATTAATAACATTGTGCTAGTAACATACTGCAAATGTTGATGCACCATTTGTACTGTTGAAAAGATATAACCAAAAGAGTACTAGACTATATGTATGTTTCTAACAAGTATGTTTCTAAAGAGGAAAATCTTGAAAGAGGTCTGTGTTAAGCACAAGATATTTACCTGGTACAGTGTCAGGTGTTGTTGGAGGGTTGTTGACAGACAGAGACCGTGTACAGGCTGCGGCTGGTACTCCGTTCTGTACCGCTCCCCCAACAGCTCCTATCATCGCCCCCGGCGCGGCGTTGGGCGGCATGGACATGGCTCGTACCATTTGCGGAGGAGGGGTGGTCTCGTTTCGGGAAGTCCCGGTGTTACTGCCGCTGAAGTGGAAGCTATCGGGCGCAGACGACACCCCCGATTCCGAACTCGGCCCCGTGGCGGCGTTTTGCGCTTGCTGCTTCTGACTCATGGTGTTAGGCGGTCCATGTGGGGGTGGGGGGTAACCATTGTTGTACATCTGGTACGGTGGAGCGTTGGGCCGGTAGGGACCGTTCATTAATGGTTGGGAGGGGTGCTGATGAGGGACCCTCATGGGTTGGTCGTGCGGTACGTACGGGTGCCCTCTCCCTCCCCCCGCGGCACCTTTATACTGCGGAACCCCCATGCCTCCTGGGTAAGGCCCACGGGGACCCACGTACGCAGCTCTCGGACTGGCTGCCCCGTTAACCCACGGGTTTTGCTGACCGTTCATACCAGGGTGGTTGTACTGTGGTGGCCCCATGTTGTAGTTCTGCCCATTTTGATATTGCGCGGGGTAAGGGAAGAAGTCGTTACTTGTTAGCGTCCTAGGATTATCGTCGGGCATGAAAGTACGGATGGGCGGAAGGTTGTTAGGCTGGGTCTCCGCGCTAGTTAGAATGTCTTCGGAGAGTTCTTGGTCGCCATGGGAACTCGGAGAGTAGGGGTATGACGGGGAGGGGGCGCCCTCAGTCCCGTAGTCAAAGCTGGTGGAGCATTGTTCGCCTTTGTCTGAAAATGGCATGCGCGGTCCCGCGCTTTCACCGTTGGTAAGTGCACTAGCTTCCGCGTTTGACCTCTGACCTCCACATGACGTGTCGGTGCTTTCGTGCCCTGCTATGTTCAAGGTCAACATCCCAGAGGTCACTGACCTGTCCATGCTGGCCGCGTCCCGATTCGGACCTCTCGCAGACAGACCGCTGACTGCGATTCCGGATGTGCAGCTGTTCACGCTGTGGTTCTGACTCGCCGACATGGCGGCACTGCTGAATGGAATGTTTGAATCAGCACCCTGCTGAATGTGCTGCCAGCTTCTGTCCAATGCGGGCTGCTGTCTCACCCACACGTCCTCCTGGGCAGGTCTGCTGTTCAAACTCTGACTGTCCTCGGGCATGTCTTCGTTCTCAACCGGTTCTGACCGGAGACTGCTGTTCTGGCTCTGCGCCAGGGACACCTGTTCTCCGCTGGTCAGGCTAACCGGATGGAACCGGTCATCATGTTCAACCGCAGAGGGACTGATGACAACGGGCCTCCGCCGCCGGGCAGTCTCCACTTCTGTAGAAAACGAACATGAGCAGTTAAGATCTGGACCATACTTCGAATCATAAAAATATTTACATTTCAGCATATTTATAGCAAAATTATATACCAAAATAAGGTGAAACAAGTTTTACAGCCAAAGCAATGGATAAACTTGGTAAAAGAACAAACTTCAAAATGTTTTCTAACCAAAAGGTATTGATAAGAGGGAATCGTACTAAAACAAAGTTGCAACGTAACAGGTTTCACAGCTAAACACTACTGTTAGTATCCTATCCCCCATATAATGGTACGATTAAAAAAAAAGGACGGTTATCTGAAAAACCATGGGTTATGGCCTGATAACCCATGAGAAATGGAGCCTTCTGATTGGTCAATGGCTGCTGGCTATATGATAATGATAGATATACCTTCTGCTGCTTCATCCAGGATACAGATACAGTCGTGCCGTTCCACTGAGTGGAACACCTCCCTCAGCCTGCCCACAGTGAACCCTGCCTTGTGTGAGCACAGGTTCAGGACCTGGATGGTCGGGCTGGAACCTTGGCTCGTGCTTTCAACATGCTGGGGGAAAAAACATCCAAAATAAGCTACAGTATTTGCAGATTTTGTGTTTACTTACGTAAATCAGGAATTCATGATAACACGTCTGGAATTCCTGATACGGATGTTTTTTTTAAGCATGAAGACTCAAAAAATAGTCACAAGAACTGCGACTTTATTAGAATTCGAAGCTTCGGTTTGAATTGTTTCACTGTATACCGGGTATCTCCTTCCTGGCTGAGTAACAGACATGATATGATATTAACTAATGATAATACCATCGTCCCTCTTCAGAAATTGATAATGTCTTTTTAAATTTCTTAATCATACCAAATTTTTCTCCCTATGATCCATTATGACCTTCTTAAAAAAACACAATGATCTTACACCAGTTCACACTTAAAATGTGGAAATTATATGTATCTTAAAATACGCATGTCCATCTTAAATTTCAATTTCCTGTATGTAATTTTACCCTTACTGGCCACAGTGAACTCAAGTCAAGTTTAGATTAATTGTCCTTGTAGTTACAGTGCAGTGTGTTCCCTTAGGCCACATCAATTTGAATGGTTGGTTCTCAGATTTTTTCAAAAAATATATGAATCGACAGGCCTTGGCATCCTATGATAGCCAAATATAAATGCTGTGATAGGAGCCAATGAATTTGAAATCAACATTATACCAGGCTGGTTTGTAATTCAAGCAATGAATTCAAAACTTAGTTAAGCATTAGTAATTATTACTACATGTGTATTAGTAATCATTGCATTGATAGATGTAAAACTGTAACAACTCTAAAGAAAAGGGACTTCTTTCAGCCGTTGTGGCCAAAATATGAGCATTTTGGAGTTGATTCAGAGGCTGAAATGTTTTCTCTTTTTTTTTGGGGGGGGGGGACCATGAACCAGCAAATTAAATATAATTTGTTCCCTTACCCTGATACTGTCCATGCTGAAGCCCAGCCCGTCAGCGACGTCCCTCCAGTCGTGACCAATCGTTGTCTTTGGATCCAGCTTCTCTGCTAACCGCTTCAGGTACGGGAGTTTGAGCTGGCTGAGATGGTGCTGGTCAGCCATCTTGGATGTTTATACTGGACGGCTGTTGTATCTATTTATATATAATCTAACCTACAAAACAAGACGAAATCGCAAATAAGTAACTATGGAATACAATCAGGGGTGCCAGAGTATACAGTGCAATTTTACGGAATACAGTGCAAGTTTACTAGTATACAGTGCAATTTTAAGGAATACAGTGCAAAAATTTTACTAATGACGTTGTTTTAGACGTAACCTGGGCCCGGCTTTAGAGGGACGCCGCTGACGGAGCGTACTCACATCTTTCTGTGTTTTTCGAGCAAATTTGGACCTTTCTAATAGATTAAACCTTTAGTCAAATCACTACATACTACACACGGGGCATGTTATTACACAGGGATCAATTCGAATTCGCTCGAAAAAGACAGAAATATGTGACTCAGCGGCATCCACCATCTTGAAACTCAAAAGCTGGGTCCAAGTCACCTGATTCAATGTCATTAGTAAAATTGCACTGTATTCCGTAAAATTGCACTGTATACTAATACGATTGCACTGTATACCGTGAAGTTGCACTGTATACTTGTAAAATTGCACTGTATACCGTAAAATTGCACTGTATACTCTGGCACCCCTAGGCCTGACAATGTGGCAAGGTGGTCTTAGGGCTGTTGACTCAGAATCTATCAATGTACAAGTACTCAGTTTTCAGACAAATTGTTGCACAAACCCACATCTCAGTCATTAAAAAAATATACTTTTGTTCCTGAAGTAAGAAACTAGTTCATACATTAAAACGTATAACATAAATTCATTGTAGCAGGGACTAAAGGGGAGGGGGGGGTGCAGTCAACTTGAACTTGTCAGAAAAACACCCTTTTTACTTGTTTTGCTGTATACAAAACAATTAATAGTAACTAAGACTCACTAAGAGAAGAGATTCAACCACTGTTGCTTGTCAGAAATGCAATCCATTCATAATCATACATTAGTAAAAAATGTTGTAAAAATGTTAGTTAACCCGGTTAGCTAGACACAGGTCACAGAACAAGCATGAAGTTTCATGTCAGATTCATGAATGTAACAATACATATAAGTAACGCTTACAGTACTCAAAGTCAAACCATTTTGCAAATCCATAACAGACTGTCTGTTGGAAATGCTAAGAAAAATAAAAGAATAGCTAGATTTTATTTAATTTGCAATAATTGTGCATATGAAATGTCATCTCTGCCAACCACTGGTGTGCCTTATGGCTCTGTACAATCTTACTAATACATGTACTTTCATCTTTCTTTTACACTTTCACCTTCACAACCAGTTGTCAGTTAACCGAACTGAAAGCGCAGCTAAATACTTAAAAATACAGGTATTTGCATGGTGTAATGATACCATACATACTACAGTACGTGTCACTTCTACAACATGTGCAACTTCAAGTAACGTTTATAACCCTGGTCTTATGTGTTGGACAAAATATGCAACTGAAGTCAAAAATCATATTCATTGCATATACAATAGTAAAAAGAATCATCTACGAACACCCACCTGATGACACAAAATACATGTATGTGGGAGTGAGTTGTGTAGAAAATAATTTCGATCTCTTGAGTGTAACGTTAAAACAAAATTAGCGTTACCACGTTACCACAACAGCGCACACCTACATTTGTATAGGATGACTCACGCATTGTAATTAGATCCCGGTCACTAACATGGGTTCAAAGCAACAGGTAAATCGCGTTTGTGATTAAAAATTAAGCCATGCCATGGAAAAATACCGCTTGACCATTTTTGCAAAACTTTACTTCCGCCTTTGGATCCAACCAAATTTTGCTTCGTCGCCATAATTTTGTTGTCATCCTTTTTTAACCAGATTAACAGCTTATTTCTGACCTGTGACTATTCCTTAGCTTTAAATTGGCTTACATGTACGTACCTGATTAACCTGAATCACTGTCAAGCTCAAAATATGTGAGAAATTGTTGACGTCTTGTGGCTGGACCTGAAGTTGCAAAGTTCACTTTGGTCAGGTGAGCAGTTTTGTTACAACAGACGTGATTGGTTGGAGCTAGGAAGCTTTGACCAATCATACGGCAGCTATCATTTCCTGTCCCAGCATGCACTGTGACAAGATGGCCGCCTTTGAAAAGTAAATGGCGGGATTTTCTGGAGGGAATTTGGGAAAACATCGTCTGATTTTGCAGTTTTAGGTATGTTCTCATTCTAAAGCTCACTCAGGAACTATCGTACAGTAACACCAACGTGTTTGATCATAATAAGGGTTACGGATGGCATCTTATGGATGGAATTCAAGAACGTTTGAACGTGCCCGTTCATGTTTTTCAATAGATGGGGAGGGGGGCACATTGTGACCTGAAAAATTATTTTCTGTTGTTGCTGCTGTTCTGTTGAAACATACAGGTTGTAAGCTACGTGTACCTACGAATTTTTAATCGCAATTTTTTTTCTAAAAATCCTACATGATAAACAATTAATGGGAGGGAATTAGGGCCATGAATAACTAAACTGTTGGAGCTTTTAATAGTAAATTATTATAAACAAACCAGACGGGGAGTACCAAAAACATCCTTGATAGACAAAAATCGTCATCTAAAGATGTAGAAAGGGATTTTGTTTAACTAAGTTTAGCAAATATACTGTACAAAAGTGATGCCCTCGAGCTCCTTTCTCAGCACTGGAACACCAGAGCTGAAGTGGTACTTAGCCGTGGCGACTCTTGATTCGGGCTTACATTGCATTACCCTCAGACAAGAGTCGTGGAAAGATCCATTGGCAGAACTGCACATTTCCCGTTGGCTGCACGATGCTCCGTTTTTGACCCGGTTTTTTGCTGTCCCGAGCTTCCCTACAATATAACTCCACAATTGGCCGGGTTGCCGATGTTTAGATCAGCCTAAATATTCCACAGCGCGACAGAAAAGTAGTAAAATAGCTAGTCGGCACAAGTTGGCCGCCATCTTGGATATAGTCGGGAATGTCCGCTACCGCCGTCGGGAACGCTCAGTAGCGTCACGATTACCGAAGCGCGACCGAAAGCTCTCCGATTATAACCGGAAAGGCTACCGAGCGTTCCCGACGGCGGTAGCGGATATTCCCGACTATATCCAAGATGGCGGCCAACTTGTGCCGACTAGCTATTTTACTACTTTTCTGTTGCGCTGTGGAATATTTAGGCTGATCTAAACATCGGCAACCCGGCCAATTGTGGAGTTATATTGTAGGGAAGCTCGGGACAGCAAAAAACCGGGTCAAAAACGGAGCTTCGTGCAGCCAACGGGAAATGTGCAGTTCTACCAATGGATCTTTCCACGACTCTTGTCTGAGGGTAATGCAATGTAAGCCCGAATCAAGAGTCGCCACGGCTAAAGTGGTACTCAGCACTTGAAATCCAGAGCTGAGACTTTCTCAGCATTGGAATTCCAGTGCTGAAGCGGCTTCAGCTCTGGAATTAGCCGTTCAGCTCTGGAAACCGAGAGCTGAGAAGAGAAAATTTTCCCCTCAAAATGCAGGAAATATGTAGAGGGTCAAAAATGTCAACATAATTTTTTGGCAAGAGGTGTTCAACAATACATGTATTAAGATGATGGCAAAAGAATTTAGGCTGGCTAGAACATAATGGGGCTTTGCACTGCCTGGTATTCAGGAAGAGCCAGGGAGATGGATGTATTCAAAGGACTAAGCCTCAAATTCTTTTCTTTCTTCGTTCCTGAGAAATCTTAAAGAAAATATTACAGAATGGCGGGGGAGTTTGTAGTCCAGTTTGTCCTGCTGGAGGGAGAGGATCAGAACCAGATGCAGCGTGCAGAGGAAGCCATCAGGACCACTGCAAAGCTCCCCTCACAGGTCAGAAATACACACATGCATTTCACACAGACATTTTCAACATTTCAGAAAAAAATTAAGCTACCTGCAATTTTGTAGACTGAAAATATATGGCTAGGGGTTTCAATGGTGTCACCATAATACAGTATTGTTTTTAAACAATACTGTATTATGTACAATACTGTAAAAGTTCTTGAAAGAACCTTTGTGTTAAGGCCTATTTCCCGACCAACTCAAAAAAACTGGTGAGAGAGTGGTGACCCTAGCTACAACCTTTTTTGTGGTGTCAGCTAATATTTTTAACTTTGTAAGAGCTTTTGTATTTAGTACTGTCAATAATTATGAATGATATAGTAATTTTGCATGTATTTTTAAATATTACTGTATTTGCAAAATTTATGACAACATGCATTCTTTATACATGTATATGTGTTTAGGTCAAAGTGTTGATTTTCAGAAAGTGCCAGTATTTAAAATGTTGACATTCTGTCTAATAAAAAAAGTCTAATACTGCAGAACACTGAAAAAAAAAAGTATTTCTACCACTGCAGGTCATCAACGGTCCGGCCGCACTGGAGATTTCCAAGGCACAGAAAAACGCTCTGGTGGTCTGTGATCCGTTCGAGGGTGAGGTGTACCAACATCTGAAGGCATTGAAGTGCAGGTAAGGATAAATCATCTGTTATGGCAGAATGTCACAATATTGTTCTGCAATTTGGAAGTACTTTTTTGCAAATATACGATGAAGTTGCATTTTGGCAAATATTTTACATGTACATGCAATTTGAAAAATTCATGAGCTAGCACATGTACTAGCACATGTACCCTGGTACATATGTATATCATGAAGTCAGTAGTAAGCACAAAAGCTCCAAAACAATATTACTATACAGACACTATTGAACCCCTATCCTGATTTTAAATTTAAGATTTAAAATTATTGCTTTGTGTTCCTGGCTGTACCAGTCATGTCTTCAACAAATGTAATTCAACAATAATAATAAAAGTTTATTGATAATATTATGATATAATTGTCGTACATGTACATGCCCATTGAATACTATTTAGTCCCATGTGTGCTGTGAAAATATGACTGTCATCTAACTTAAATGTGATAATACTGCATACACTCCACAATTGATTTATCAAATCAAAGATGTTTTATCATGATAGTATACTGCAAATGCTTTATCTGTTCCAGGATTGTAGGCCCCCAGTGTGTCCTGTCCTGTATGAAGCTGGGTAAAGCCATCCCCAAGGCTGACTATCCCATCTACAACATTGCCATGAGGAATGTGGTCATCAGCTGTTCTAGTATGGTCAAAAAAGAAAGGGTAGGCCCTAACTGCGTTTTTAATCCTTCCTCTTTGCTATAACCTTTAGGCCTTAGGATAAGAAATGTTCCTCTTCCAGTGCTGAAAAAGTTAGGGTCGGTAGGTAGGTATTTTTATGTAATTTATGTCCCTTGCAGGGGGTCACACAATAAAAGGCTTAGGCCGACTTTAGACTGACGACGGTATACGATCGCACGACAATCGTTGTGGGCGACGGCTGACTTTAGACACATGACCAGAAAGTGTGGCGGACACCCGCAGCGCAGGATGGCACGCCGCGCGCCAATTCAAAATGGCGAGAGAACCCCTTTTTCGGCATGCTGCAGCAGATTGTTTTTATTCTGCTTTTAACTCGTTGTCCTGTTGATGAGACGCCGAGTTTGTGCCCAGCAAAGAAGGGGTATATGGCACATGTACCGAGCGGGGCTATACCCGGGTTTGAACCCGGCGTTCGGTGCTGCCGTCGGCCTGGCTACATTGGCCGGGAAATGTGGATCGGCGGATCGGTTCGTACTAGAGAAGTAGCGATTGGTGGCGGGGGATTGTACTAGACACGTATGACGATATATAGTCTTTGGTTTGACGACATTTAATGATACAGGCGATGTGCTTGGACATGAAATAACGCTTGCAGGCTTATTTGCATAAGGCCAATGACCTCCCACTTCCTTCGCCGGCGACGGTTCACTTTAGACGGTGGAAAATCCTCCTCGGACCCCCCGCTGAAGGATCGCACGATAGAGTCCGAGGTGGTAGTGACGACGATTCGAGGATTACCGTCGTGCGACTATTTTGATAGTGTTTAGACGGTGGTAAAATACCGTCGCCGGCAACATCTTGACGATAAACATTCGTACGACTATTGAACCGTCGTCAGTCTAAAGTGCCCCTAAGGGTCGTCAGTTTTTTCTAGGGTCAGTCGGGAAACAGGAAACATACTAGTAACATTTTTTCCTAAGCCTTTTTATTTTAGATCATTCTGCATGCCATTGACTCATCACCAGTTCCGTTTGACTTTTAAAAAGATTTCACCAGCAAAATCACTTTGCTATAATGTGAGAAACTATGTGGCATAACTCTTGAAGGCATGATTCGATGTTCATTATTTTTGGCAGGCAGGTTACCGGTGGGGAGACCAATGTTAAGTTCAAAAATGGACCTCATTTGCAGTCCCTACATCACTGCAGTGGACCTTTTGTGTTTGTCATTTTATTGTTAACAGGATAACTCGAGTATATGTAAATGGATGTTCTTCATTTTTGTTAGGCACATTACCATTGTGGGGTCGAAAATGGGCCTCATGGAGAGTCTCTACATCACTGCATTGAACTTTTGTGTCTTTTATCTCTGCTTTTATCTAGCTATACGACCTTCAGCCGGGTCACCCATATGCTCCTAATATAGGAACAGTCTCAAGGGCTAATTATACTGTTTATACAATTTCAGGACACAATCCATGAGCTGGTCCAGTTGATGGGAGGCCATGTTGTCAAGGCCTTCACCGGCATGGTAACACATCTGGTCGCCGGGGAGGTCGGCTCAAAAAAGTACCACGTTGCCGTGAAGCTGGGAAAACCCATCATGCTCCCTGAGTGGATAAGGGCCTGCTGGGAACAGGGTAAAACTCGCCACATTGATGCCACAGATGAGGAGTTTCAGGACTACAAGTGAGTTGGTTTTTCTTGTCTAAGGTTTGACTTTGAAATCCTATTTTCAGGCTAGAGTGGTGCAAGCCAAGTGGGCATGATTTCGTGGGAGGGGGGAGGGGCATTCTTAGAATTCAGGTAGTACACTGGGCTATCTGGGTTAAAAGGAGTAAAATTTGGTTACCCGGGGCAACTGGGCAACCAGGTATTTTGCATGCTGTACATGTACATGTACATATACTTGTGATTGAATCTGAGAAATTGTGGATCGTTTTTGTCTGCCCCTACATGCAGTACATGTACATGTATCTTATGACCACAGGAAAGTAATTGGCCATTAGCCTTTGCTCTCCTTAATTTTTGACATAAGGGCAAGTCCCTCTTTATTATGTTTTGTATTAAAATCACTTTCAGCATTGTTTTGTACAAATACTTGCCCAAACCTAAACTTATAAAATATGTGAAACTTCTAACATGCTTGAGGTATTATTATGGTCCTGATACACAGGACCTCCCCTTCACATCATATCCAAGAGGACATCCCTAACTGAAGCAACATACACAAAATGTATAGATACTCATTTTGAGTCAAGTAAGGAAATAGGTGAAAAGTGCCTTTCTTTTAGGCACATCACTGGGGCCTGCCAGGAATATGAACCCAGAACCTTCAAGTTCAACCCTAAACACTTGGTTGTTCTGCCCCTGTACATGTACTATAGATGTCCAGTGTTCCAGGGTTTAGTGGTGTGTGTGACAGGACTGGACAGTGTGATGTTTGACCATGTGTTTGTTGTGTCCATGTAGGTGTCCAGTGTTCCAGGGTATCGTGGTGTGTGTGACAGGACTGGACAGTGTGATGTTTGACCATGTGTTTGTTGTGTCCATGTAGGTGTCCAGTGTTCCAGGGTATCGTGGTGTGTGTGACAGGACTGGACAGTGTGATGTTTGACCATGTGTTTGTTGTGTCCATGTAGGTGTCCAGTGTTCCAGGGTATAGTGGTGTGTGTGACAGGACTGGACAGTGTGATGTTTGACCATGTGTTTGTTGTGTCCATGTAGGTGTCCAGTGTTCCAGGGTATAGTGGTGTGTGTGACAGGACTGGACAGTGCATGATGTTTGACCATGACATTGTGTCCATGTAGGTGTCCAGTGTTCCAGGGTATAGTGGTGTGTGTGACAGGACTGGACAGTGTGGACAGACAGGAGATCAGGACACAGGTGGAGCAGTATGGAGGGAGGTACTCAGGAGAACTCCGCATGAAGGAGTGCACTCACCTGGTCGCTAAGGAACCTAAAGGTAAACAAAACTCATTCATTCAAGGGCTTTTTTTTTGTGCAAAGAAAATTTTTGGTCAGCAAGAATATTATTCTTTGGACAAGAATCCTCATTTCAAGAAAATTCAAGAAACCCACATTGTTCCTATTTTTTTTCTTACAGTTAATGAACCAAGACTTTAAGAATATTGTTCTTATGATAAGGAGTTCGAGTTCTTATACGAACGATCTCTACCTTCAATATTTAACATCTGTCTACAAGAAAAGATTTCTTGAACTAGCTAAAAATTTGTACACCAGAAAAGGTGATTTTTAAACAAGTCTCAACTATCTGTTCTTGTAGCAAGCAAAAATCCTGACCAGAAGAAAAGATTTCTTGAACAACATAAGAAATGTACATTGTACATCATGTAAGAGCTAACCGGTCTTGTGGCAAGAAAATCATTCTGTATATATGAATGATTGACAGGTGCTAAGTATGAGTTTGCGCGGAAGTGGAAGCTGCACTGTGTGACGACCAGGTGGTTCTATGAGAGTCTGGAGGCAGGGGTGTGTCAGGATGAGAACCTGTACAGACTGGACAGGACAAACAACACAGAGGACAACAAGACATCTACACCTTCACAGGTAGGAGGGACTGTTGTGAGTTAATCCATAGTTCTCACTGGTCTGTTTGAGCGTAGGGGCCCTCTATGCTGTGATTTGGACCCCTACACTGTGGTTTAGCCCTCTTCACTGTCTTTCAACCATTGGGGTAGGGGTATTTCTTATCTTATGACCCTTCAATTAAAAAAAAAAACTCAATGCATGGTTTGTATCACAGAAAAAAAATTGTCCTTTGTACAATGCACCTGACCCCTATGCTGTGAAAAAAGTTTGGTGAGAACCTTGGTATAGGGACTACAAATACTTATCCTGTATTCTTGTAGCTTGCCAACTACAATTGCTAATATTTTGCAGTTGTGATTTGGCAAGCCAAGTTTGTAAAATGGTGACAATACAATTTCATTATTAGTTTATTGGTTTGTCGGTTCGTTAAATGATTTATAGATCAAATAACTACCGGTAGCTATAAATGTATGCCCTGTGCTTTACACAATCTTAGCCCACACCAATTTAATTTGTTGGTTCTCAGATCTTTTCAGAAAAAATATGAAGTGACAGGGTGAAAAAAAAAATGAAAATGACAAAAAAGGTCCAGGCATCCTATTTTAGCACCAAAATTAATGCTACAATAGGAGCCATGAAGTCAACACAAAACTGTCAAAGGCTATGTTGATATTTAAACCATAAATTTTGAACTTTGAATCAAACCACTGCATTTATAGATGGAAAAACTGTAACAACTAGGGAGAAAAAGACTTTCCTCAACTGTTGGGGGCAAAATATGAGCATATTTGTGTTGATTCAGAACCAGACTCTTTTTTTTCTGCAAATAAGAAAATTAAGTAAAAAAATAAGAAAAAAATGGAGGTGAAACCGAGAACCAATAAATTAAATTGGTGTGGCCTTATCCTTGAATGTTTCAGGAGAAGAAGGCCCCACGCCTCAGCTGTATAGCAGACATCAGTACCATATCCACAGCCTCCAACAACATGTCCCACGTGAACGACACCAACCTCAATGCCACGCGCCTCTCAACACGAGACCACGACGTCACGTTGCTAGCTGACGATCTTGACACCGTGGACGTCTCTAACATTGACGCGGGAATGTTCCTAGACGGTTGTACGATATTCCTGAGCGGCTTCACCGGAGCAAGACTGGAAAAACTCCGAAAGATCGTGAACGCGGGCGGCGGCATGAGGTTTAACCAGCTGAACGAGAAGGTCTCGCACGTAGTCATGGGCGGTCCTGACGAACAGATCGCACAGACGCTGAGCGCGGAAAACCTCAGGCCACACGTGGTGTCAGCAAAGTGGTTGGTGGAGTGCGTCAAGGCGGGAAAGCAGGTGACTTTTGACATGTGGTTTTCATAATATTTTTTCATTTGAAATCATTAAATTTTTGTTTATTTTTGTCCAAACATGTCTCGGGTACAACTGGGGATCGAACCCGGGTCTCCCCATTTTATAGTCGAATGCTCTACCACTACGCCACCCAACGCCACTTGTTACTAGATTGTATGACTCTTGAAATTATATGGTTGTTTTCATTATCGTGAGCCATTAATGACAAACTTTATTGCACAACAATTGTACAAGGTGCAAAGTATGGTAACTACTGCATAAATCCAGTCTTTGTCAAGAAATGAGCAATTTAACGCTTCTGTCACGGTATGTAGATGACACACGTGACTCAGTGAACAGTGGATCACAGGTTGCCATAAGCCTTTGGTATTAAAAAGTCTATCTACAAATGTAAATCAGGGCATTACAACCATCCCTCAACAAAGATGGGGGGCGCCACAGACTTCCCACAACCTATGATCCACTGCTTACTGAGTCACGTGTGTTATCTGCATAACATGACATCACAGATGCAATGGATTGCTTATTCCTTGACAAAGACTTGAGTTGTACAGTCCAAAATTTTGGTAAGTCCAAGTTCTTGTGTTGGAAATGACAATTTAAACTTGCTTCATAATACATTTTTGAACCTTGAATCAGGTTCCAGAAGAGCCATTCTACTGTCTGGAGCTCCCCCCTCTGGACCCCACCTCCCCTGTTCAACCCAAGAAAACGGAGAAGCCAGAAAAACTCCCGCCTCCTCCCAAGGAGCCTGAAGACGAAGACTCGACTCAGATGGAAGAAGAAGAACCTGCGGAAGACGACATCATGAGTCAGTATCTGGCAGGTGCAGAGGAGGAAGAAGACAACACGACCATTGAAGCACCAGAGGAGAGACAAGAACCAACAGAAGAGGTTTGAAAATTGGCTATAGTATGATTTTAGGAAGCTGCATTTTAGCCAGTAATTGATTACAATTACTTTTAATGATGACATGTACGTCAAGTCTCAACATCATTGTTGTTTAGTGCACTAGTGTAAATAACTTAAGGACCACCTGCCCAATCGGCCAATGTGACTGTTTTTTGCTCAAAAAAGTAGAAAAAAACTGTTTTAGCATTTGGCAGACAATCAATGGTCTGAATTATACATTGATGTAGGTATTTTACACAGCACATTAATAATTTGCAAAGGAAGCAACTTTAAAATCCCCAAAAACAGGTTTCAAGTACAAAATGTTACATAAGACGTACAGTATGCATCATTAAGATATGTGAATCGTTACATTATACATGTACTTGTAATCTAAACGGAGACCTTAAACTTTCTTATTTGCTTAGAGGTAAGTTGTGGCGTAGCTTGGTAGTCCCTTATAATGTAGATAGTTTTTCCTCTCAATCCTGTCTATAATGACCACCTGTGCACATATACCGCATTCTATAATTAATTTGGACTGTACATATACAGTACATGTACTGTGATATCTCTCTGACAATCAATCATCCACAGGCATACTAAGTTTTTTTTTAATCCCTACCTAGGAGGAGGAAGATGAGGTAGTTTTCATGAAGCTGGAGGAGAAGAGGCCTGAGGATGAGGAGGAGGAGGATGATAATGATGTTACTGTGGCGATGGATGGAGACTGTGAGACAGAGATGGAGGAGGAGGGAGGGGGAGGGGTGTTCCAGGGAAAACTCTTCTCCTTCTACTCCTTCACAGAACAGCAGACAGCCACCCTAGCCGAACTGGTGGGAGAAAATGGAGGTGAGCTTTTGTTTCCTTACCAAAGGAATACATTGTTTTTGCTCTGTTTCGTCCTCTTCTCAAAACAGATAAGGTCAATGACCTGAACCAGAGGTCTGTCACCATGGTAACTGGTGTTGGGTTACATCATGTTGTAATTTATAGCAGACTCCTGGCACCATTATATATAATATTATTTATGAATGTGGTTGAGTAAGTTTACAGTGCAGACCATGCAAAGGTAAACATTATACCTTTTTTCCAGTTTATACTATAAAGTAACAAACAAACAAACAAAGTAGAAAAAAAGGTATAATGTCTACCTTAAAATAACTATAACTTATAGTTAAAATACATTTTTAGTATCATGAGGAAAGAGGTCAAGGTCAGTCAACATACACTGTATGTTGTTTTAAAGTCTTATAAAGAAATGTATGTTGTTACAAAACGTTATGATATGCCACAAGGCAGTTTTCCATTTATGAAAAATAAACTAACATCTTTATAATAGTACAGAATTATTTTGAAGAGTCTGCAGACAAGGTAAACAACAGTAGAAAAACACACAAAGAAAAAAAAAGAATTGTTACAAATACATGATGTATTTACAGATTTGTGTTACTGTTAATCAAGTAATAATTTTAAGATTCGTTTTGCATTTTCTTGGTCAAACCTAAATAATATATACGTATGTTCTATCAACTTGAAAAAACATAACAGAAACTTATTTAGAAGGACATGAACTTTTTTCAGCAATGAAAGACAAACGAGTCTGAAAACTAAGTTTGTCCTCTTAATAAGGAGTGTCAATGATGATGAGTAAAGTTTCTTTCTCATTGTGTGGTCGTGTGAGGTCGTGTGGCGCAATCGGTAGCGCGTTCGGCTCACACCCCAGAGGTCGTGGGTTCGAACCCCGCCTTGTCATCGACCTTGTGCCCTTGGGAAAGGCACTTTACACGACTTTTCTCTCACTTCACTCAGGTGTAAATGAGTACCTAGCTTCGGTTAGGGACGTCCCTCGGATAGGACGTTAAATGGAGGTCCCGGGTTTGGGAGAGCCACACCCCACGCATGTTAAAGAACCTACCACACTTACTCGAAAAGAGTAAGGGACCTTCCTGGTGTGAGCGGTTCAAACCTTACTGTCTGGCCTCGGGGTTGACATCTTTGAAGAGGTGATAAACACCTGTTATGTCAATCCTTCCACAAATGTGGTAAATCGTCATAAAAAATATAAAAATATTTCTTTCTGTGTAGGATCTGTAGTGAAGTCGGGCTCCAGAGCCGTGCCTAACTACGCAGTAGTTCCTGTACTGGGGTTTCCTGAGGGCATCTCAGCGGAGGAGATAGTGACAGACTGCTGGCTCAACGTGTGTCTGGAACAGGAGACCCTGCTCAGTCCTGAACATAACCCCTTATTCACACCCCTCACATTCAAACCTGACTGTATGCCTCTGGTCGGCTGTGTGCTCTCTCTCAGGTAAACATCATGTTTGTTGTTGTTGTTGTGTGTTTTAAATAAGATTACTAAGAGACCTCTTCTAGGCACAGAACTGAGTTTGTATTAGAGATTGAGTGTAGTGAATTTTGATACATTATTTTGCCATTATGAATTATGTATTCCCGTAGCTTTACATAAAAAGATGGAAAAGGAATATTGGGGAATAAAAAGAGTGGGAGTGATTTTAGGCAGACTATATTGTTCCTTTGAGAGTTAAGACACATTTCTGAGGCGGGTGTTCCTGTCCTTGGTGCTGAATGATGCTCCAACAAGACTGGTGCTTAAACAGCATTTCGTCTTTCAAAGGGCACATTATGATCTTTATAATCAACTTACTCCTTACATACATTTTGTATTTTTACATGAAGTCTTTCCATCAAAATTCAATGCTTGTCAGGGCTCAAAATATTGGGTGCATGTGCACCTTAGTGCACCCAAAATTGGAGCTGTGTACCCATTTTGTTTTGCATCCAAATATTTTGTAGGTATTATTCTACATATTAATATTATTGTATAATAGTATACAGGATATTCTTGGCATCTAAGTGTCAGAGTATTATTTTTATTGGAGGGATTGCTGTACATCTATGCATATGAAAAAAGAAAAAAAAAACTACACTCCAACTTACTTAGAACTTCATTTCTTCCAGTCAATATGCAGGAGTTGAAAGAGAATTTCTGTCTGGGCTTGCAGAGGAGCTGGGAGCCTGGTGAGTTTTTTAATCTTTCTACAACAATATTGTTACAATTGCAAACATACATGTGCATGTACATGTACATTGGAATGACACAGGTGTGCCTTCTTTGCATTGCGTAAAGTTTGTTAGTCTAAGAATGGCTGTCCCAATGTATACAAGAATTGTCCATGAAAATGTTAGTGGAAGATGACATCCATAATTTTCAACCCAAACTTTCTTTGGAAACTCATGCCCAAACTTTAATTGCAACGGAACACATAGGTACAACTAAAAAGGTAACATTTGTAAAGCGAGCACATAATGTTTACCTTCATATAGTCTATTCTAATTCATTCTTACCAAACACATCACACATTTGTGTACTTGTACATTTTGGTGACTCAAGTCCAACTCTGCCCCACTACTTGCTACATAATGTAATCCAACACCACAAGGTGTTTACTACAATGTTACTATGGTGACAGCCATCTGGTCCAGGTCATTCACCTTATTTGTTTGGAGAAGAAGAAAAAACAGCAAAAATTATTTATTTTCCTTCTGCGGAGGTGAACATGACAGCAGTTTTAAAAGGATAAAAATGTCTTATGTTACTGTAACAAGCAGTAAGAAATTTGAAAGATGAGAACACAAAATGACCTGATATCTGTTGCTGTTTCCTGTAGCTGTCAGGAGTTCTTTGTGAAGAAGGCCCAGCCCAGTAAGAACCTGCAAGCCAGCACTCACCTGCTCTGTAAAACACCTGAGGGCTCCAAGTACCAGGTACATGTAAGCACTTATTAATGATATACACTGTAGCAGTATATGCAGGTAAATGTACAGGGCTCGAAATGCTGAACATGACCTGCACCAGACAAATTTTACCTGCACCACCCATATAAAAATTTAGGAAGTAAGTAACAAAACATACTAAAAACTGTTCAAAAACCATTGCCATTCTTTCATACTTTGAAGGTGGTAAAAGTCAATGCAGAGAAGGAAAATCCATTATATATTATTGTCCATGACTTTTCGTACACTGCATATGAACCCAGTACATGGAGCAAAGGATTTTATTGAGATTACAAGTTTAAAGTGTTAGTTCTTTTAGTATACACTAAAAATTCACAATGTCATTATTGTTGCTCCCCCCCAGGCAGCGAAAAAGTGGAAGCTCCCTGCAGTGACGTCTGACTGGATATTTGAGTGTGGCAGAACTGGGAAGAAGGTGTCAGAGGAAAGATTCCTGGTCAGTAACATACAGCAACCTCAGGAGCCTGCACAGGACAAACCAGATAGTAAGTCACTTTGCAGCAGCTTTTTTTTAAATATTTCATTCCATACCATATGGTATATGTATGGATGAAATGTACTGTTTTTCATGGTGTTTCTTGTCCTTCCTGGCTGCTTCCTGTCATTTTGTCATTGGATTCAACTCAGTCAAATGACCTGACAGGAAATGGAGAATTTTGAAATGGGGAGGGAGATGGAGTGAAATATGCTGTATTTGTATTTTTTCTAGTTTCATATCTTTTGATATAGCCCATTGATTTAGCACTGACTTCAGTTTATTGATGAAAGAGATGGAAAGGAACAGAAGAAGATATCAGAGCAAGGAAAGCAGGGATCGAATTACCAATGTCTTGTACCACCAAGTCTTCCAAAGACAAAGATACATGTAATATACAAGGATGGAAAAAAATGCTTGGCTGATTGTCCCTTCTTGCAATCTTGGAAAATCCTGATTAGATTTCCTTTCACTCGTCCTATTTCTCATCCTATTTTACATTCTAGAAATAACCAAGGCTGAACACCATGAATCCAGACCCAAAGAAACAAAATTAGATGTGACGCCATCCGAAACCCCCGGACCGAGTAAAGAAAGCCCAGGAAACAAGGAGAACAGACAAGAAGACCGCAGAACCTCTACTGTGCCCAAACAGCAACCCCCTGTGCCTTCTACTTCAGTACAGAACAAAAGCCCTCCTGCAGAAAAACAAGTAAAATCTCCATTGGAAAAGGACGATAGGACTTGCAATACAAAGACTACTGCTCAGAAGTCATCTGAGACCCAAATCTCTAAAGAACAGGATAGTAGAAAAGATACCAGTGCACCACAAGTGATACCGAAGAACAAGGCACCAGTCTTGAGCAAGGAGCCGTTTGTAGCCAAGAACAAGACGCCCGTACTTAGCAAAGAGCTTCCTTCGGTTAAGAAAAACAAGAGACTGACCGAGCTTCAGCAGTCACAGGTGAAGATAGACACCCCAAGCAAGTTCTTGAGTAAAGGAGTGGTGTTCAAGCCTTCCTTTGACATGCAGGATGCCTTTGATGCCCTGCAGTCTCCGGCTGTGGTGGGGAACCAGGGGCAGAGGAAGAGGGCCAGGAGGTCCAGTGTGGTAGGTGCAGTTTTGTCATGACCTGCTAGGTGGTGTGCATGTACTGCTGCCTCTGTGGCTGAGACTGTGCTGTGTTAGTATGCTTTGTAAATGATGCCCATTGTTGGAATGTGATATTAAGACTGTTGTATTTGAATAAAAACTTAAGAATTTTGCCCTTTACATGTGCACACAATAAAGTCTCTACTGTGAATAGTACAGATTTTATTTATAAATAGTCCAATTTTGTTTATAAATATTCCAAAATTTTGTTTATAAAGTCTCCACTAAGTTAAGAATATTTATCCAGTAGATATGGCAGATATTCATTGGTAGGATATACATTTTGTAGGTGTATTTTTAGGTATCTCGTGTATTTCTAGTAAATTCTACATCAATTTTAGGCCAGACCAATTTGATTTGTTGGTTCTCGGATTTACTTCATTTTTTTCTGATTTGCAAAAAAAAAAAAAGATTCTGGTTCTGGATCAACTCAAATATGCTCATTAAAAGTTCTTAATTCATTGTTTAAATATTAACCCAGCCTTTTGTGTTAACTTCATGGTTCCTGTCGTAGCATTTGGGGCTATAATAGGATGCCTAGACATTTTTGTTTCATTACCTTCGCCAAGAAGGTTATGTTTTCAGGGGCGTTCGTGTATGTGTGTGTGTGTGTGTCTGTCAACACGATAACTTAAGAAGGCCTTGATGGATTGTCTTGATACTTGGTAGGTGGGTAGGTCTTGATGAGACCTCAAAATGATTAGATTTTGGACCCCCTAGCGGCTTGTTATGGTACTGCAGCTGAACTTCCGGTTTTGATATCTCATGATGTAGACATGCTATGGTGATGAAATTTAGATGGTAGGTAGCTCTTGTGCTGGGGAAGAAGTGACGTGAGTTTAGGCCCCCTAGCGGCTTGCTCTGGAACTGCAGGGATAAATTCTTGAAAATATTCAAAAGGGGATAACTCAAGAACCGGTTCACGGATCGTCGTGATTTTTGGTATGTAGGTAGCTTACGTGATGCTTGATATAATTATGTGACAATTATGCAAATATTGATGTAATTTGCATAATTTATGGAGAAATTCTATAAATCAGCTGCATTCAATAATAGGACAATTAAAGCTTGTAACATTGGTAATTGACGAAACACAGGAAGATATTGATTATGTTAATGATGACTTAATTTGCATAATTAATGAGAAAATTTTATAATTATGTAATGATAACTGCCTGGAATTTCATACTTGTGGTATTTGAAAGTTAAATTGAGGTGAACATCATTAAACATAATTTATTCAAATCAGGACCTCATTTGCATAATTTATTAGGAAATGCTAGAATGCATTGTTAATATAAGAATTGTTAATATAAGACTGTTTTTTGGTTGAGATTATTATAAAATGATATAATTCATGAAAATTAGGTTCCTATTTCTTAAATCAGGGGGGAATAATCTAATCTATAATTTGTCAGTCATAAAGATTAACATCATTTGGCGAAGGTATGAGATCGGGGAACTCTAGTATTTTTTCTGAAAGAATCCGAGAATCGACAAATTAAATTGGTGTGGCCTTAGGTAATTTCATGGGCCGTGTAGTGGCGTGTACCTAATACAAAACTTAATAGATGATGTAATAAATATGAGTAAAATTAACTATTTCACAATGTCTCCAGCCTCTAGATGCCCTTCTCCAGCAGAACCTGGAGAAAGCTCTGTCTAACTTCAGTAAGGAAGGACAGCAGTCTGGCCTGGGGCCGGGGATTCCACAAGGAGAGCAGGAAGAGGAGGAACAAGAAGAGGAGGAAGAGGTTTTTACTAAGGAGGTAACATATGCATATGATTATGAACAGTCTTAGGGGTTCCGTAAATAATTTCATCAGGTTGGAAGATACATAGGGTATAGAATTTTCTTCTTACACAACCAGTAAAGGTTCTCACCTGCTTACATTTCGATGTCTATCAGACACCTTCCTCAGAGCTTCTGACTGGAGTTCTGCAACTCGCCGCTACAAATGTATTTAAGGCCAAAGTAGGTGGCGCTTTTGCAGCAAGAATGCAATCCCAAACGTGGCTGAGCTTGTATCCCCCCTTGTCCCGGTTCATCACTGGGATTGACTTCCTTATCCAGAAGCGCCACCTACTTTGGCAATAAATAGCAGCGAGTTGCAGAACTCCAGTCAGAAGCTCTGAGGAAGGTGTCTGACAGACATCGAAACGTAAGCAGGTGAGAACCTTTACTGGTTGTGTAAGAAGAAAATTTTATACCCTAAATCTTAGGGGTTCGAATGAAAGCTCATCTGTTTTGGTAGAATCTATAGTTATAGTGTTTGCTCAAACTTTGCTCCAACACAAGAAAGGAACTCACCATAAATTTTCGGGCAATCTCACCAACTTTTGTCAAAAGTATGATCCACTCGCTGACTCTGGGAACGTATACATTGCAGTTCTTTTTATGAATGAATGAAGATCTTTATTGTACATGTAACGTTACATAACTAACTGGGATAACCAATGGGTTAAGTACATGTCACAGAGGAATAGCTTGAAGTTGTAAGCTAGCACTTGCACCATAGTCTTTTAAGTACATTGAACTTCTGCAAACATATCCATTTTTCTCAGACTTGGAGGAAACTTTTGCTACCGCGAACATAAAGTGATTCACAGTACATAGTGCTGCGTACCGGTTCACTGAACTTGGATCTGGACTTGTAATATAAGAATGTTTAGGTTCAAGTCCAAAAAAAAAAACTAAAAGTCAAGAACCAAGTCCGGACTTATTACCATAAAAGACCATTTCACATACCCCTTTTCTTTCCAAATCACCTAAAACCTTCCATAGATTGCAAACTCTTTGCTGCAAAATGAAGAAAACATTGCCATTGGGCATCGTCAAGTACCGGCCTCCATGTTATGTGGCCAAAGTTTCACCCAGACAACATTGCAAGGTTGCCATCATGCAATTTACGTATATGCCATGGTTTTAGGTATTAAAGTCCAGAACTGAACCTAAACCTCTGGACTTGAATCCGGACCTGAACCTAACTGTGGGTTTAGGTATGCAGCACTAACAGTACCTGATCCCCCATCTGTCCCCAGCCCTCCCCTCCCCGCCCGTTGGCAGGAGTAGTGATCTATGTGAGTAAGAAGCTGAGTAAGCAGCAGAGTGACTATAACGACCTGGCCTGCTCACTGGGCGCTGACTACAGGTGGACGTACGACGAGAGCGTCACGCACTTCATCTTCCAGGTGGGCTGATTCTGGTCTTGTTTTTTGGGAGAGAAAATGTGATAAAGTTATCCCAAAGACATTTAAAACAACTCACTCACTACATGGTGTATTTCTCATACTGTTTCATGTGCCTTTGACATACAAAAGGCTCAAAATACAAAATGTACCACCTGCAAATGCAGCAGGTTAGTGCAGGTAAAATTGGAGCTGTGCAGGTATTTCTGATGTCTACCTGCACCTAACCTGCACTGGCCCATGTACTGGGTATATGCAGGTTAGTTAGTGCAGGTAAAATTGGAGCTGTGCAGGTATTTCTGATGTCTACCTGCACCTAACCTGCACTGGTCCATGTACTGGGTATATGCAGGTTAGTGTAGGAAAAATTGGAGCTGTGCAGGTATTTCTGATGTCTACCTGCACCTAACCTGCACTGGCCCATGTACTGGGTATATGCAGGTTAGTGCAGGTAAAATTGGAGCTGTGCAGGTATTTCTCATGTCTACCTGTACCTAAAATGCACTGGTACTGGGTATTTTTACATTTAAGGTTCCATACATTTAGGTGTATGCATATGTGGATTTTTATTTGCTGCATTCAGACTGTTAATACATCATGTGTATCCGTGAAGTATAAAAAAGAAATAATGGCAATGGTTTTTAAAAACTTTTTTCTTTCTCAATTCAAGTTTCAACAGAAATACTCAGAGAGCACAAGGCAGCAAATTCAACTGATGCCATGCTCCACACATTCCAAAACATATAAAACAATCACTGGTAATAGTAAAATACAAATTAAAGTTATATCTCATAAAACTTTTATCGAATAATTATTCTGTCTGTGTCCCACAGGGTCGTGCCAATGACACCACCAAGGAGTTCCGGACAGCGCGGTCTCAGGGGAAGACCATCGTGTCTCCTCATTGGCTGCAGGTGTGTGAGGAGCAGGAGGCCAGGGTGGACGAGACACTGTTCCCTCACACATACAACCCCAAACTCAGTCTGGTGAGGGTTTTGGTTTGTTTATTGGTTTGTTTGTATCAACAACAGCAAAACTGGCAGCTGTGATGTACATTTCAAGGCTGAATTTCACAACATATGTTTACAACATAAATCATCCATAGTAAGGTCATTAATAGTCATTAAGGTCATTAAGTTGCAATCATGTCTGAATCAACAGATTAAACACTTAAGCTCAGTGAATTGAAATATTTACAAAAATTATTATACCTTGACGAAGTTGTATAGGTCATTACGTTGTTTAATTGTTTAATGACATCTCTTTCAATCTTTTCTCCTTCATGTATCTTAACACACCAATTTTTAATATATCTTTCCATACCCTTTTAAGAGGATTGTTGTCTGTGAAAAATGAAGGATTGAGAAGAACTTTTGTCCGTCATGAGTGGCAAAATTCTGTCAAATGATGGAAAGACAGACGCTGGCTGGAAAACGGGGGCCCAGTATACATAACTTCATTGTACAATCACAAAATGAGGGTATTCATGAGTTAGCAAGGTCTGTGTCATACAAAATTATAACTATTTTAAGTGTATAGCAAAGTTCTTTATTCACAACCAATGTTTAACAAAAGCTGAGGTTTCGATGACTCTCTATCATATTCATCTGGTGGGAGTTAACAAAGAAAATGTTGTGTACTGATTGCATTGCAGCTTTTTGTGTTTTGCAGAACAAGAATAAAATGCTTTGAAGTGTAACACACCAGTCTTGTTCAGTAAATACAAGCTGTCTAAGACTAGACTGTAAGATTTGAACCACTCACACCATGATGGACCCCTACTCTTTCCATTAAGTGTAGAAGCACCTTTGTTCTTTCTTCATAGAGAGTTTTCTGAAAATTTCTATGTTCCCTCCTCCAGTCCCAAGCGGTTGTGTCGAAGACCCCTGCCAGATCCACCCGTAGTTCCTCCCGTAGGAAAGACTCTGAACAGCAGGAGAACCAGGACAGTACTGAGGGGGAGGAGGACAGGGAACAGGACAGGACACACATGGAACAGGTCAGAGGGACATTTCTTAAGTCCCTGTCATACATTCACAAACTTTCCACAAATTTGTTCCGGAACACCAGCCGAACATGTCGGCTGGTGTTCGGGAACACTCTGACCAGATTTAGGCCATGTCTACCTTTCGTACATGAATCAAAACAGATTGGTGTTGAATTTGAGCCAAATTTGATTAACGCGCTCAGAACACTGCTGACTTACTCCAAGACGGTTGGCAGGTTTTTTGCTGACTTAAGGTCAAAAACCAGCCAACTACAAGTCATGTATGACTTGACTTATGAATGTTTTAAATTTTAAAACTGGCGTTCGGGAGGCCAAATTCGTGAATTTGTGACAGGGGCTCTAGCTTGAAAATTCAAAAAAAAAATTCTGCAACAGGTTTGATTCTTTGAACTGTAATTTTCAACACAAAAAGAATGGATCCACCCAAATTTTTTACTGTTCAACTCGTCTTTGTCAAGTCCATGTTTTTTGCACCAAGTGAATCCCTGCAGCAAGGGCTACATGTATGTCTAGCAAGACAATATAGACATTACACATGCACAGAGACAACAGCAACAAATTGTCAAGAACTGGATATTGACAAGTTCTAAGCTCAAATTTTTTGTATTGAAACCTGTTGCAGACAATCTTTATTAGATAGTTCTAGAAATACATGATTGTACATGGTCACATGTATAAGGGCTTGAAGGAAAATTTTTAAAAACTGATGACTATGTCTCTTCAAAGGTTTTATTATAAGCATGAAATTCAAAACTTGTTTAAACTTTGTGTAGATATTGATTTTTACTTGTAACATTTTAGGGTGGGACCCTGGAGATGAGAGAAGACTTCCAGCGTCAGTTTGAGGAGATCATGTCTGCAACGCGGGTCACACGCAGCAGCCGCAGGAGAACCAAACGTCTCAACGACTCCACGGGAACGCCGTCTGCGTCTGATGACAGCGCCAAACGCTTCTCCACACGCAGTAGGACACGGGCGCCTTCACAGACTTCCAAGGCCGACAGCAAGGATCAAGAACAGGTTGGTTGAAACATAACAACTAGCTATTCTCCCTGCTGCTTAACTGCATTTTACAAGAGAAATGAACACGATTTAACAGGAAATGCACAGGTTTCGCACTTGTTTCAATCGAGAAATGCACAGCTTGTGATCACTTTTGACAAGAAAACTTTAAACAACTCCTGCAATCAAATGTGCAAAGATTGAGTGTAACAAGTCGTTCGGTGTGATATAGCTAGCTGCCACCGCGCCGCGTGCCTGCAAATCTTGTGTTACTCCGAAGGGCAGTTATACCAGCAGATACAGATTAATAGGGATTTGTACATGTACATGTGCATGTGTAGAAGTTATCCGAGATCTTTACTATACTTCAAGCAAAATGTAAAATTTGTTTACCTTATTGATATTATCTCGGCCCATATTGGAAAGGTTACTTTCTCAGGGCTCAAAATATTGGGTGCATATGCACCTTATAAAATTGGAGCTGTGCAGGTTACATTTGTATGTCTACCTGCACCTACATTGTAACCTGCACTGGTCCATGTACGAGGGTTTTATATACAAATGTTGGTGTATGTGGATTTTTATTTGCTGCATTGACTGTTACTATCTCCGAATAATGGCTACAGTTGGTAAACAGTTTTTATGATCCATACTTCCTAAATTCTGATCAGTGCAGGTAAAACTTGTCTCAGGTGCAGGTAATTTTCAATATTCCCTACACCGGTGCAGGTATGCAGAAAAAAATGATTATGAGCCCTGTTTCTGTTTGTGTCATTTTCACCAGGCTAAGAACTCAGCAAAGTGTCCAGAGAACTTCACCGAAGCCTCTCAGAGCATCCAGATCACCTGGGACGATCCAACGGGCAGACAGGAGAGGGAACGAATCGCAGAGCAGCTCAGATACAGAGCCAGTCCCACACAGGAGATGGAGGAACTCGCACAGGATGGACAAGACTTCCTCACCAGAATGTCAGGAGAATCAACCAATCAGGAACAAGGACCAGGTCAGATGAGACTCCCATCAGCCAATAACAGGGCCTCATCCACCTCACCCAATCAGGGAGCAGATAGGAGTTTTGGGGAGGATGAGCCCACGCCCACCCCGGAGGGTCCCTCCATTGCGTTCCCCTTCGTAAACCCAGCTGTGCCACACCCGACAACCATAGCTAGGGCGGAGGGTGAGGAGGAGGAGGAAGTACAGAAGCAAGTTTATATCTTCCAAATGTCAGGGATGACTCCTCAGGTAAGGGTCTTGATATTTACTTAGTTACTATATCTGAATTGATCAAGCCCTTAGAAATGTTTTTATTACCTTTGCTAAGAAGGTTATGTTTTCTTTTGAAGCATTTGTATGTGATGTGTGTATTTGTATGTTTATATGTATCTGTGTATGTGGTTTAGCATGATAACTCTTGAAAGGAACTATGAATGGATTGCCTTGAATTTTGGTATGTGGTTAGGTCTTCAGCTGTTGAAGAAATTATTACCTCCATGAAAAATGGAGGTATTGTTTTTGGCGTGTCTGCCTGTATGTCTGTCTGTCTGTGTGTCTGTGTGTGTGTGTGTGTGTCTGTCTGTCTGTCTGTGTTTCCGCAACTTTGTGGTCAGCATAACTTCAGAACGCTTTTATGGATTGCGATGATATTTGGTATGCTGGTAAGTCTTGGGAAGACAAAGGTCAAGGTCAAATATGGGCCTCCTGGCGGATGACCTTGGTACTGCAGCAGAACTTCCGGTTTTTGTATCTTTTGTCCTGAACAAGCTATGGTCTTGACTTTTTGGTGACAGATAGCTTTTCCTGTCAGGAATAAGTGGTGTGAGTTTGGTCCCCCTAGCAGCTTGTTCTGGAACTGCAGGGCACTTTCTGGTGAAATGTTTAAAAGCCAATAAGTCCAGATAGGAACAACGTATTTTCATCATTTTTGGTGTGTAGGTAGCTGAGAGAGAGTTGTACATAATTAGATGCAAATTATGCAAATGAGGACTTAATTTGCATAATTAATGAGGAAATGCTATAATTACAGTGTTTTATGTAATAGTACTTTTATACATGTAATCTACTTAATCTGTGGCAGGCGGAACATCAACAGATACCAATTATGCAAATGATGACTTAATTTGCATAATTAATGTGAAAATTCTGTGACTCCTTATTGGCAAATGATGGGACTTTTATACCTTGTGACATGTGTAAGTTACTTAAAGGTTAACACCACTATGCATATATTATGTTAATGTGGAGGTCACTTGCATAATTAACGAGGGCATGTTGAAATGTATGACAAAGCAAGCCCATATTTCATGGAGGTATGAGATCTCTGAACTCTTGTTAGGTTTTGAACCCCCTAGCTGCTTCTTATGATGCTGCAGTGGACTTCCAAAAATCTGGTGATCACAGAGTTACAAATTTTGGATGGTAAATAGCTCTTGTGTAGGGTGAGAAGAGACAAAAGTTTTGCCCCCCAAGCAGTGTGTTCTGGAACTGCAATGGCATTTTTAAAAGCATTTTTATACAGATATAATTCCCTATGTGCATTCCATATTCAAAGGCTATGTGTATGACCTTACCTGACCTGTAACCTTCAACCTCTGACCTCCAGGAGAAGATGGACTACAGTGGTCTGATAGAGGAGCTGGGAGGTGAGGTCATCGACAAGCAAACCTTTGACCCCCGCTGTACCCACATCGTTGTCGGGAACCCCAACAGGAACGAGAAGTACCTGTCTGCCCTGGCCATGGGGAGGTGGATCCTACACAGGTCTTACATGGAGGCATGCAGGGAGGCCAAGGCATTTGTAGAGGTAAGGGGCATTTCAAGGATGTTGAAAATCTTTGAATAATATCATCAGGTTGGTGAATAATCAAATAGCAACCATTAAGTCTTGTTTAAGTTTAACAAGGGCCAACATTTTGATGACTGTCTGTCATGCAGCATCATCATCTGGGCAAGTATGACTGGTTTGCTTTGCACTGAAGCATTGTTAACAGTAACACCTACACTGTAGCTTCACCAGTCATAATTGCCTTGATGAAAATGGCAGACAGTCATCAAACCATCAAACAAGTGGTTCTGAATACAACACTTTGCTATTCATTGTAGAAAGTCTTGTTCCAGTGTCCATTGTACATGTACTTCAAGCAAAGGCCCGAGGTACAGATTGTACATGTGTCTCCTACAATACCATAGGTTCAATATGAATACATTATTCAATGTAGTACATTGAACTTTATACAGTACTAGTACATGTATGAACCTGTGTACACATTGGACCTCCTTCTACAATCAGTGAATCTCAATCTACCTGTAAGCCAATACTGGATGAAGACACTGTTGTAGCCTTTACACCATTTACTCCTTAAGTTTCCCTTGTTAGGTGTTACCTTATGTGATCATGTTCGTCAGTCATTAACCCTTGTCCTGCTGTGCGCAACATATGTCGCGCGGCACATACAGTACCGTCTATATAGCACCCTGTATAGGTACGGTTTGGGGGTATTTCTCGTGCAACACTTTACACCGCAGCAAAACGCGCAATGAATGCGGAAGTAACTATGCCACTGCGGGGCAAAAAAATTTAGGGGTCTATGATCTAATTAAAACATGAAATAATTGAAAAATATTGTGCCAGGAATGCCAGCAGGACAAGGGTTAAGTATGACTTAGAGTGTACAAGTGGCTGGAAAGAGTAGAAATTGGCCAAATAGATAACATGCCAGGAGAGTTGGTCTGCTAAAGGAGTACAGTTTGCCACACCCTGGCATGTTATCTGTCTATTTGGCCAATTTCTACTCTCTCCAGGCACTTCTGAAGCCTGGTAGAGGCTAGCTGTAAGCCTTTTCTTGACTCCCATTCCAACCTGACAAGAGCGTGTTATGTCTGTAAACAGGAGGATCCCCATGAGTGGGGCACTGCTACAGACGTCAGCGGCCTGCCTGAGAACGTGGCACGGCTGGCCCTCGCCGCGCGGCGCTGGAGACAGAACCTCGCCGACCTGCGCGTACAGAACAACGACCCCGACATCAATGCCTTCCAGAACTGGGCCGTCCTCCTCCACGTGGACCAATCACGCGCCTCGGGGTTCAAACGGCTCCTGGAGTCCGGCGGGGCGAGGGTGCTGAGCACGCGGCCTCCGCACGCGAACGTCCACGAAGTGACGCACGCCTTCATCGAAATCAAAGGCAAGGGGGTGGACCCGTCGCTGGACATACAAGCCCTGGTGCAGGCTGGGGTCTGGTGCCTTAAATCAGAGTACATCGCAGATTACCTCATGCAAGATCCGATTCCAAAGCCACAGAACTTTGTCATCAGTGAAGCCCTCCCTTACATGACTGGGGCAGAGACCCCTAGGAAGAGGAAGGCCAGCTCTACGAGTGGACTCGATGGAAAACGAAGCAAAAGACTGTAATTCCAAGATTTGCTGTATTAAAGTAGAGTGTTGGTGATGTATATAGTAGAGCGGATTCATTCCTCAAGCTAATCGACATCTCGCACACGCAGGATGACATCTGAAGCCGAATAGTTCCTTAGAACTTTTATGGTGTAAAAGGCTGATCAGCTGAATAAAAGTTCTAAACAAGAACTACTAGTATGTGGCTCCAGATGTCTTACTGAGGGATGACTGCCTGTGCGAGATGTCGATTAGGTTGAGGAATGAGTCTTTACTATATAGAGTATTGGTGTTGCACGTGATCCATTTGGGGCCAAAAACTTATAGCAAAAAGAATACAAAAAGAATGCAAAAGGCTCAGTAACAAAATGAAAGATGGCCACGAAGAGAGTACATATTATGTGAGAGAAATATTTTGGTTGGGGTTTTTTTGGCCAGAAGGTTGACAGTTTTCTACCTGGTTATTGTGGCCAGTGTTGCATTTTGCCTCATGTACAGTGTTACCTTCTACCTGATGTTATAGCTGCCATTACATCAATAGAAAGTACTATTTTACTATGGTGACCAACACAGTTCAAAGAGATTTACAATGTATGTAAAGACGATGATCATTTTATGCAATTTGTTTGATTGGACCAAACATGTTGTAACTGTGTGTTTGCTATATTGTAGTTTTAATAATAATCTCATAGTAATAATAAGAAAATATTGAAGTGATGGACAAGGAAGGATCTTTTTTAACATCCATTTTCGGTCAACTATTTCTTGAAATTGTTCCCAAAATGTGTGTAAATTATTGCACTATTTTCTGTACGCTGTCATCTGCAAATTACATGATTGTATAGTTATCTTTTAGTCATCTCTTCTTGTACTTGATCACTCTTTATCCATCGCCAAGGAATTCATACATAGTTATCTGTCTGTTGAAATTTAACAAGCTCTTTCTACATTTTGTAACATTTATAGAATTTTAACATGGATTACAAATAAAGGCTCAAATTCAATATTTGCTTTTGTGTTTTTTATTGCATTCATGTCAACTAGCTATTTCAGTGTACTGGATGTAAGTTTAGTGTCAGTATACATTTTTTTAAATCAGGTTTTGCATGCAAGGGATGAAAATGTGGCTTTCATACATTGTGTATCATATGCCAAGTTTTTTATCCGCCCTCCGCTTTGTTGAGGAGAGCGCTAGTGGGGCATATGATAAGAAGGTCACAATTTTCCCCCACAACCTCTGCTTGGAGAGTACTACTGTGGGCTATTTTCCTGCTACTGTGTGTCACAGTGTGATGCTGCAGCTGTAAATCATTTCGGGTTGGCCTTGTACCAAAATCCATACGTGTTTATAGCCTGGGTCTTGTATAAAAGTATATGTATGAAGCTTACTCATCCAGGAATGTGATATATACGAATGTTGTTAAAGTTAATCTGCACAACTCGATTTATTACACGTATACACATTAATAACGTATTTTTCTACTATTCTAATTACTAACGTTCTTTCTATACATGTATACAACGCATCAAAGTACGACGTACTAGTATTAGATAAGGAAAATACACAACCAAAAAGAGCAGCCATTGGATCATATTGCCCCTCTTCACCGCATTTGGCCGAATTCCACTTTTTTGCTCACCTAGTAGGAAAGACGTTTGGAGACTATAAGTCGGGCTAATCCCCAAGAAGATTTGCCAGTAGCTGCAGCAAAGACAGGATATCTTATTGGCAACTGAAGACAATATTCATTTGCCAGGCAATTAGAGTTACCATTTGCTACCCGAAGTTGGGCTAGCGTATTAAAGAAAATGATACCAGTACTAAAACGAAAACCCGATGAAAATGCCTAAAAACACGTCATAAAAAGCCGAAGTCTCAACCTCTGCTTGGAGAGTACCATTTTGAATCATTAGGCCACAGCAAGTCAATTTTATAGATGACATCCTCCGCAGACTCGAAATCTAATGCGAGCAGGCGAAAAAAAACAAGGCGGGCCGAAAAAGAAAGGTCCCTACAATGTAAAATTTTGACTCAATCATTGTATAAATGGTTTTGATTCAGTAGGAACATCACATATACACAGCCAGCATCACATATCACTGCATCAAAGAAAGAAACAAAACATTAAATCAGAGCCTTTCTTGTCTCCTCTCTTCACCGTTATCTGTCATCCACCTTCCGGCATGGCAACAGACATCTTTGCCCATTTTCGGCATGTTGACCACTGTCAGAAGGCAACAAAATTTCTTGTTTTATTTTTTTTCTAAATACAGGCGACAATTAATGCGTGCGCTCATGTCATCCATAAAAATTTCTTGCTGTGGCCTCACTCCGATAAATTGTTTGGCCAAATTCCAATATTTTGTTCAGCAAAGGAAGAGGTTTGCTTCATGTTAGAGACCTCCTGATGCGTAGGGACACATTGTGGGAACCCCGCCGGAAAAACTTCTCAGATGGGAAGAAAAAGGTCGTTTCAATAAGGCCACAGCAAGTAATTTTTATGGATGACATCAGCGCGCGTATTAATTTTCGCCTGATTTTAGGGAAAAAA